ACACACACACAAAGCACAGGGGTTAGATGAGGAAAAAAAAGGGGGGGCAGACAGACTGCAGTATTGTACACAGTACAGACATCAGCTGGCAAGCAAAAGGATGCAAGCAACAGCAAAAAAATTATAAATATGTAAGTAAATAAACATTTTTTAAAAGTTAAAAAAAAAATTTGAGGAAAGTGTTATTACAGGCAAGTTGAAAATAAAATAAAGTTGTAAATGTATAAATGGCAATGCAATATTTATAATTGTGTAGAGAGAGAGAGAGAGAGAGAGAGAAAAGCCATATAGGTGAGCTTATACAAGGTAATCAGCCAGGTTGAATAGCATTTTTATTGTACACAGTACAAATGCTAGTTGTAAGGCATAACAGAGTTCTTACTGAATTAACTAGCAGATCATGGAGTATTAGTGCTACTGCACAAACAGACATTGGCTCCCAGGCTCTAAAATTGCATCACATCCAATAGGAAAAAAAAAAAAAAAAAAAAAAATTTTTTTTTTTTTTTTATTTTATTTATTTATTTTTTTTTTTTAGGTAATTTTCTTTGTGGTTTATTTTTTTTTTTGTTTTCCTCTATCTACAGCAAAGAGAAACATTAAGTATATAAAAATGTTCAATTACTAAAAACAAGACACAGCAAGAGAGTAGTATAGTTAGATGTAATGAGCTCAAGTCCAATGATAAGTACATACATAGATCTGATCGATGTTCTGGGAATGATTTTCATTTCATTTTGTTAGAAAAAGAATTTCTGAGTTATTTTTTTTTAATAACTTTTTTTTTAAAGAGTTTTTTTTGTCTTAGACTTCACTCTTTCTGAAAATTGTTTAAAATGGATTGTTCAATTTTTTAAAAAAAAATTTTCAATGAGTGTGTGCTCAAGTTTGCTTTTAATTTTTTTTTTTTTTTTTTTTTAAGTCCTTACCTACAAACAGGTATGTAAAACCTTTCATCCAGTTTTTTTCTTTTGCATTTTTACAGCAGATGAAAGGCAGTGATGATGCAAGCTTTGATGGAGCTATTGGCCACAGAAGACTGGCAGGGAATAGAGTAGCCCTAATAGAAAGTATAAACAGCCAGTAGTAAACCAAGTAGCTGTCAATGTCTGTGTTGTGCTTGCTTCTTTCTCACTGCTGCTGACTTTTGCACCACCACCTTTGCTGCTGCTACATTTACCATCATCAATTTATTTTTCTACCACCAATACCATTGCTACTGCTGTTATAACCAGAACTTTAAGTCAAGGGTTTATTTGTCCCTCCACATCACAAGAGCATTTAAAAAAAAATAATAAAAAAATAAATAAAGTGGGGAGACCATATGAAGGGTTAAAAATAAATAAAAAATAAAAATAAAAAATAAATGAAAAGAACAACAATGTTATTAAGACTACTATTATTACTTACTAACTGCTTAAATATTACCACCAATAATATTGATAAGGACATTCATGTCTCTGCTTTATTCAATTCAGAGAGGGGGGGAAGGAGCGAACATAAGATTAACAACTTGAATTGGTGAAAATGATAAAAAAAATAGAATAAAGGCTGCTATTCATATGCCATTACTGCTGCTGTCACATGCAGTCCACAAATCACAATACTCAGATGCACAGATGAAGTAAATGATTCATCTTAGTGAGGATGGGAAAGTGATCAACAAGACAATGATAAATGATAGCAGACATATCACACAGTGCATAGTAAAAGAGGATGTGAAGTTAGGAAGCTGTTTCTAATTTGTCAGACATAACTGGAGGAAGTATATGGGAATATTTCTGCAAGAACAGAAAATTAAAACACAGAACATTCAGGACTATAAGATTAAGGTTAAGTAAAAGTGTGGGTTTTTTTGTGGAATACCAAAATTGCCCATTTTATAGAAGATAAAATGGTTTGCAATGAGATTCAAATCTCCAGAATGCTGCCACCTACCTCTGATCTGTTCTTATTGTGTGGTAGTCTCCAACATTTTAAACAGTACTGAGGATGTAGAGGTGGAAGAGAAATTGTATTAATTGGCTATGAGATAAATTAAGACAAAAACTTTATTTCAGCTGGTGTATTGTATCAACAACCAATAAGTAGTAGCAGTAGACCAAGGTTTTGTTTAACAGTTAAATCAAGATTGCCAATACCAAATTAAAAGTTAGTTCAAGTTTTACACCAAGAATCCAATGAGTTTATTTAGGGGATTTTTGTGATATAATGGATAAGCTCACTTAAATTTTTCCTGTCCATATATACACATTTTAAGATTCATAATAAACTTTCTTTACACACACACACACACACACACACAATCGTTCAAGTATGCATACTCCACCACATAAAATCAGGTGCATTACATTGTGGAAATAAGCTCCTGTGCTTTTCATGCATTAAATTTTGTTCTTGAGCAAAGACATCTCAGATGGTGGCTGCCATAAAATTCTTATATTTGTCAAATCCTTTCTACCAAAATCAATCTAATTGCACAGCCAGTTCAAAGTGCAATGGAAAACAAGTTAATCCTTTAGTATAAATTTGTCTTTACATTTTTCTTATGCCAAAGTACAGTGAAAATCTTCTTTCCGATATTTATATTTTCATTATGAAACCTTTTTTCTGAAAAACAAATAAAAGAATCACTTTCATAAAAAATTTAATATGAAAAATAAAAACACATTATGTAACTTGTTTTGCCTTTTCATTTCTTTCTCAAAAGTACTTTACCATTATTCTAACAGCAAAACTTTCCTTGGCCAAAAATATAAGCAGCTAATAAAGAACGAAGTGTAAACATACTATCATTCTCTTGTAATGTGGGTAGGAGTAAAAGAGTCCACATAAAAGAAAAAAATCAATGAGAAGCAAATAATTGGGCATACTAAGATGAGATGTGTACATTTCAAAATCAAATGTACATCTATTTTACCGTCTGCAGTTAATGCTTAGGAGCATGTAGAGTCATGTTAAGTAGGTATACCATTATTATAGAATTGAAAAGATGTTATTTTTTCAATGCAATAATAGATAAATTAACACAAGACAAAAAAAAAAAAAATAAAAAAAATCTAAATTGCAGAAAACTTGAGTTTCAACATTTTTAAGTTTTAAGATTTTTATTGTGCCTTTAAAGATGATCAGAAAATAGGTAATGCCTTTGTTGGTGAATGGTTGGTGATAAGCAATTTGATGATGACTTTAGATAAGCACACACACACACACACACACTTTATACAATATATATATATATATATATATATATATATATATATATATAAAAACGAAAATTAGCAATGACAATAAGTGGGGGAAGAGGGCTAGGAAATGGGTGTAATTGATGGAATATGACAATAGATACAAGCAAGAGAGCAGAATCTATTAAGAATGAAAGCTTTTAACAAACATACATCCTGAGTAGTGTACAAATGTATGTATACTAAAAGCATGCAGACATGCACGCACGCACACACACATTTATTTACATAAGTCATTAAGAAAAAGAACGTGTTAGATAAAAACATCCATCCATCCATCCATCCATGTTGCTAGAATTAATCTGGGATAAGAAGGAAAGTGAAGAGGAGTGAGTTTACAAAAGCCCTACTATACGAAAAAAAAAAAAAAAAAAATCCTAATTCCTTCTCAACATGGTTGTTTAACATGCAATTAACATGGATTTTTCATTAACAACTTTTGCAGAACTCTTAACATTCATATTTCCATCTGTGGAGAGAGTATTGATTAATTTAGGTCCTAACAGCAATATTTTAAATCCTTCCACACCCCTCTTTTCTCTAACCCCAATCTTACTTTTTCATAAACGACACAAAGATGTAGGTGAGTGCTTATGATCAGATTGGAGTATCAGTACAAATGAAGTTAGTTTGTAATAGTGTGTGGTGGAATAAGAATGTTGTGATAGGCAGGTTAAGTGTCCAGTAGTCAGTATCCAGTGTATACATCGTTTTGTATCTACTGGCATTTTTTGAAATTCACAACAGCAGGAGGAAAATACTGACCCCCTAACACCCCCCACCCCCACCAACTCACCTTCCCTTTCTTTCCGTTCTCAAGCAGATTGAGATCATTTGTTTATTTTTATTTTTTTTTTTTTATTTATTTTTTTTAAATAAGTTGGTTGGGTCTGTCAGCACAGTTTCTTCCTGTTTTTTTTAAATTTTTTTTTTTTGTTTTTATTTACTTTTTACTTCATTTCACCAATAAATTTCTTTTGCATCTACACCTCACAAGCAACATCAACATTATGATCTCAAGCAGATCCAGTATGTTGACAATGTTACTATAGTTTCAATATGAAGAGGTTGTAGGTAAGGTTAAAGAGAAGATTTTTGGAATAAATTACAACCAGACAACACCATGAAAAGAAAGATGGGAAGGAAAAAATCTGTAAGGGGGTATTGATGGGGTGGGGCAAAGAGGGCAACAATGGTATTTTATAAGTCAGTTTTAGCCTGGTTTTTAAGTTTATAAATGTCAATGGTTGTGATAGAGTGGTGGTAGTGATGGTTAATGGTGGTGGTAGTGGTAGTAAAAAGCAATGAAAAGCAGCTTAAGCTGTCCTTCATTGAAAATGTCTTTTCCCCCCCTTATCCCAAATTGTCATCATGTTGTATTAATTATGTCAACTGATATTAATAATAATATAATAGTAATAATAGCAGTAGTCAGTGGCATCATCATGGCTCTGCTCCAAAGACAGGGAGCAAGAGAGGAGCTGCCATTGTGTCCAGGAACTGCCAATCAGCCAAATATGAGAAATATGATGTGGTATATGGTGAGGGTGAAGACAGCTGTGCACATATTACAAGTCCATTTTACCACTGAGAAGATTCCACCACCTCCAAATACCACTAGTCTTCAGTGTCGATGCATCCTCCTCTGGATGGCAGCAGCAAACAACGAAGAGGAGGAGGAGGAGGAGAAGGAGAAGGAAGAGGAGAAGAAGGAAGGTGTCCGGTGACAGCAACAGCTTCCTGATGTCTAACACTTCAGAGCATTCCTTCAAATGATGCCATTAAGTCACTCTGTTCATTTAAATCAATCTGATTTGCCGTCTGAAAAATAAATAAATCATACATAGACAAAAGAAAAATGTGTATTTAAGATATTTTAAAAGTGAGCAGGTTTATGATGGAAGAAATGGGTATTTAATAAAATAAAGAAAGTGTGCAATTTATAAAAGTGGATGGCCAGAAGAATGAAATGTTCACAACTTACTGCTTCACGTCGCCGTCGTTCCTGCTCTTTTAACCTTTCTCTTTCTTTCTGCGCATGTAACCGTGTCATTTCCATTTCCTGAACCCGAACAGCTTCTTCATGTTGTGCCATCACCTGAGCTTTGCGTACTTGATCAAATGTTGTTTCTTCATCCTCACGTTCTCTGTAAAAATCAAAATTCTCTATAAAAAATGTGACAACAGTCAAATATGGGAAAAAAATAACACAATTACTATCAAATGGGGAAAATTATTATGGATAATACTTCCTTGTGAAATTTGCCACTAAAATGTAATGAAAATGTTCTCTTTAAAACAAACTGTAACAGACAATAAAAAAGTGGATATTTTACAGCAAAGTAAAATGAACCTCCACCCTCATCAGAGCATAGACCAAAATTTAAAAGGTTGTGTTTCTGGTGTGATTGGAAAAGTTATATATATAGTGAGTACCTTTTAAAGCACAAAATAATTGATCCAAACAAGTACTGCTCCTAAATGGACACAGTAAAGGCAGCAATAAACAAGTGTTCAGCCCAAATTAGTTAGTTAAGAGAAAAAGGTATATTTTCATAAGGATAGCACTTGTTTCTTTAGTAACCAGGCAAAAATTGCTTCATATTAGCTTGGAAGTTTTAACTTAGACACATTCACTAAATATTGCATTTTCAGATTACATTCATTCTGATCTTTACAAAATTATCTTAATGAAAAAGTTTTGATTTTTTTTTTTTTTTTTTTAGAAGTTTAGTGTGAAAATGTGTTAAAATAGCAAAATTTCCTTCCATTTTAACTGCTGATATTGCATTTATTTTCTAGGCTATTTTGATAAAATTCATATGTAAACAAAATTTTATAGTTGTGTTTTTAAAACTTCTTGTGATCCAAGTTGCGTCTCCCTACACATATCAAAATAGCCCCAGAAAAAAAATAAGCTTGTCAATTTGATGAGGTAACCATAAGGTTTCAAGCTGTTTTTCACAAAAAATTTCTAAGTTGAAAACTTTAGTGGATGAAATACCAGAAAAATTTAACATTTAAAAAAATGAAAATTACACCTACTTGTAGAGCAATGCCTAGTCTTTAATAATCAAGTTGGTTTCATATCTCTGTACCTATACAATTTGAGGGTAAAAAGAGGAGATGCAGTGTTCATTTTGTGCAAAATTGTTGAATCCGATGCATCAAGATTTGTATTGCTAACAAAATGAATGAACATTGTCACCTGAACCAGATTTTAAATCAGACTTATTTCATCAATGGATAATATGACACAGTTTAAATCTTTTTCTTATATTTTTTCTAATGATGCATTTTAAAATTATAAAAAGTACTTATTGTATGCTCAAATTACTTTTGCCTCGGCAGTTGTTTTTATGCATTTTCTCAAAAAAAGCATTAAACAGAATTCATATTATAAAATAGAAAACTAAATATATAGACTGAATATATTCTTAGTTCTTTAAATTTCACTCACATTTGTCCATAAAAAAATAAAATTTTTGAAAAAGTGTCTAGTTTTCCTTTTGAATGATCATTCATTTCATTTACATTTGTGGTTGGCAATATTTTCTCTAATTCTCAGAATTTGGAGATTAAATTGAAAATTTATTTACAAATTTTCAAAAATGAAACCGAATATATTTTATAAAATCAAAATAAAAAATGAACTGTATAAAAAAAAATATATGGGTTCATAAAAAATTGAAATGTAATTAGTAATTTTCAAAATGTAATCAGTTTCCATTATGATTGTTTACTTGTTATGGGAACTTACCTATAACGATAATGAACTCTTCCTGACACTATAAATACTGCGCCTCTCAAGAGGTATAATGAATGAATGGTGTAATGAGTCGAGACAATATTAGTTCACTCTAAACCAGAGGGACAGTCATTACTAACACCATCAACTTCTTTTACTATATTTCTGTTGTAATATATCTTTGTTATTCTACTCTTGTGTTCGTGTTGTTCTTCCTTGGTTCTAACCTTGGACCATAACAGTGGCGACGAGGAACTGAAGAAACGAATTCTATGCAGAGGACAAACCTTTTTGCTACCCGTCGGCCATAACAGTGGTGACAAAAAAAAAAAAAAAAAAAAAAAAAACTGAAGAAAAACTCTACGCAGAGAAATCCTAAAAAAGTATACTCAAGAAACAATCTCTACGTGGAGAATCTACAAAAAACTTTTTTGTTATCGGTCATCCATAACAGAGGCAACACAGGTAGTGAGAGAGGAAAAAAAAAAACAAAAAAAAACTTTACAGTAGTAACAAAGACACAAATTCTACACAGGAAAATTTTTTCTTCATACTAAGGTTTCAGAATAACAGACAACAAAGACCTGAAGTCTAAACTAAAAGAAAAATACTTACACATAATTACGGTAAATATGGAAGATTTTAAGGCAACCATATTGGAACTTATGAAAAACGAACAGAAACATCAAGAATTATTGCTACAGGTAATAACAAATACAGGGCAAAATTCCGAAAATGAAAGTTCTCTCGCAAAATACTATATAGAATTCTATCGAAGATTTCATGTATAAACCAGATGAAGACAAAACCTTTGCAGCTTACTTCAGAAGGTACGAAGATTTATATGAGTTTGATTGCGGGAATTGGTCAGACGCAAGAAAAGTACATCTACTACTAAGAAAATTAGGGTCTAGCGAACACACTAAATTCGTAGACTACATCCTACCAAGGAAAACAAATGAGTTAACTTTCAAGGAAGCCATAAAACTTAACAGAACTATTTAGCCCAAATACCTCGCCATTCCACAAAAGATGGAAATGTCTGAATCTAACAAAAAAGGACAGCGAAGACTATATAACATTCGCTTCCATTGTAAATAAACACTGTGATGACTAAGTTATCTGAACTCAGCCTGGACAATTTTAAATGTTTAATATTCGTTCGAGGCCTGGTTTCATCGAAAGACACAGAGATCAGACGCAGAATTCTTACAAAACTGGAGAGTGAACCAGATTTGACGCTACAAAAATTGGCTGAAGACTGTCAGAGATGTATGTGTGAAGAAGGACTCGAAAGATATAGAAGAATCTGGCATTGCGCAGATACGTAAAGTACAACAACAAACACGTTTTTGCAGATCCTCAGAAACAAACCAAACCAATTTTCCCTCCTCAAAAACAGATCGAACAAATTTTTCTACGTCAAAAAGTTAATATCAGAAAAAAGTACCACCCAGTCCATGCTATCGCTGTGGGATTTTGCATTGGTATAAAGACTGCCCATACCGCTTTAAGACTTGTCTGTCGTGCAAAAAAGCGGGTCATAAAAGTTCTCATTGTTGGACTAGGAAAGAAAGCAAAAGCAGAGTAAGAGTAGTCACGAGGACTGAGCAAGCGGACAAGACAAACATACGAAAATACGTGCAAATAAAAATGTTAAACAGAAAAGTCAGACTACAATTCGATTCCGGATCGGACTTAACTATTATTAACGTGAAACATGGAGAAAATTGAACAAACCGACCATGTTGAGAACCGATAAAATTGCTAGGTTGGTAACTGGGAGAAAAATAAAATTTGAAGGAGAAGTTATTACAAATGTGACATTCAATGGAATGACCAAAAAATTAAAAATGTATGTGCTAAGAAATACAGAAAATTTATTTGGAACGGACTGGATGCAGAAATTCGACCTCTGGGATTTACCAATAAGTATGTACTGCCAAAAAGTGAAAAGTTTATCGACCGAGACAGATAAATTAAAGGAGAAACTAAAAAAGTGTCCCCAAAGTATTTTCAGCCGGACTCGGGAGGTGTAAAAAATGGCAGCAAATATAGAAATAAAAGAAAATGTACAACTTATCTTCAAGAAGAAAAGGAACATACCTTTTGCTTCAATAGAAAAAATAAATCAAGAGTTGGATAGACTTGAAAAAAATTAGTATATTGACAAAAGTGGAATATAGTCAATGGGCGGCACCTACGGTTTATGTTAAAAAGAAATCGGGAGATACAGTATCGCCGATTTCTCAACAGGATTAAACGCAGTGATTACCACTATCCTCTACCCACAAAACTAAACGGAAGAAAATTTTTCTCAAAAATAGACTTGAGCGAAGTATACCTACAAATACCAGTAGATGAGGAAAGCACGAGATTATTGTCCACAAAGGATTATACAAGTTCCAAAGATTACCATTCGGGATTAAGGTCGCGCCGGCAATATTTCAACAGATAATGGATACTATGCTAGGTAGACTTGATTTCACGATTGCATACCTGGATGACATACTGGTAAATAGCAAAAACATTGAGCAACACTGGGAACACATTCAAGAGGTTTTTAGTTGAATACAAAACTATGGTTTCATGGTAAAAGAAAACAAGTGCAATTTCTGTATGAAGGAAATAAAATATCTTGGACATAACATCGATGAAGAAGGAAGACGACCAGACCCAGAAAGGGCTACGGCAATAAAAAAAAAAATGCCAGCTCCAAAAAACACAGCCGAATTACAAAGCTTCTTAGGCTTACTGAATTATTACCAAGAATTCATTCCAAACATGCATAAATTACACGCACCCCTAAACAAACTGTTGAAGGAAAAAGTTTGGGAGTGGACAGATGAATGCCAAAAATTGTTTAACAAAATAATTAAGACGCTAACCGCGGATCTATTTTTAGTGCACTATGACCCAAAATTAGAAATAATAGTCGCAACGCGAGTGCCTATGGAGTCGGGGCATGTATACTGCATAAAATGCCGGATGGAACACTAAAACCCATCGCGCATGCTTCAAGAACTTTACTACCAGCAGAGAAAAATTACTCACAAATCGAAAAAGAAGCGCTGGGAATTATTTTTGCAATTACAAGATTTCATAGATATATTTACAGTAGATTTTTTATTTTACAGATGGACCACAAGCCGTTATTAACAATATTCGGATCAAAGAAAGGTCTACCTGTTTACTCTGCAAATAGGTTGCTAAGATGGGGGTACAAATTTACTGAACTACAATTTCAAATTGGAGTATCTTCCCACGAACAAAATTGGACATGCAGATGATCTCTCGAGACCAATACCTAAGAAAACAGAGCCATTGGAAGATTCCGTAATTGCAGCCCTACAACATGAAGATATCAGGACATCACTATGTAGTACAGTTCGAAACCTCCCTGTCACACTACAAGAGATAAGAAATGAAGCAGAAAATGATGAATTCATAAAAGAAACAAAAACAAGAATTGCAGAAAAAATAAAAATGTATCAGTTTTTCGTCATGTGACAATGTTCTACTATATAACGAAAGGGTAGTAATTCCAAAAACACTACAAAGGCAAATCCTAAAGGACTTCCACATGGGCCATCCAGGAAAGAATGGCATGAAATCGTTAATGTGAAGTTACGTATATTGGCAAAACATGGATCAAGACATTACACAGATGGTGGAAAAGTGCAAGGATTGTTCCTTAGCAGTGAAAGCACCACCAATCATCCATAAGCCATGGTCAGAGACAGATCGACCGTAGTCAAGAATCCATATAGACTTCGCAGGTCCAATTGATGGTTTCTACTATTTGATCATAGTAGACAGTTATAGCAAATGGCCAGAAGTGTTTCGTTGCAGAAAACCTACTTCTGAAACTACCACAAATTGTCTCTAAGAGCTGTTTGCTCGCTTCGGAGTGGTTGATTGTCTAGTCACTGATAACGGGACACAATTCACATCTGCGGACTCTCAAGAATTTTGTGAAATTTTTCAAGTTAAACATATAAAATCCCTGCCATATCACCCAAGATCAAACGGACAAGCGGAGAGATTTGTAGACACACTCAAAAGAGCGTTGAGGAAAGCATATGACGTGCCAACAGAAAAGGCGTTGCAACAATTTTTACAAGTATATCGAATTAAACCAAAGAGTGCTACGCCATCGGCATTATCACCCGCGGAAGTGATGTTCGCCTGAAAAATCAGATTAGTATTTGACAAATTGCTACCAAAACAAACAAAGCAAATACCAATGTCGTGCGTACCAAAAAGAAAATTTCACCCAGGAGAGAAAGTTTTTTTTAAGATGTATAAAAACAATACGTCCTAATGGGAAAAAGGTACAACTGAAAAAAAAGAATCGGGAACATGGTTTACATAGTACAGGGCCTGAAATTATCACACAAAAGACATGTAAATCAAATAAGAAAGAGGCTGTTAGATGATTCTAACGGTCCACATCAGGAAGAAGTAGTGATGGATACAATATTTGACACATTTTATATGCAAAGGCCGCAAACAATGTCTGAACCACGAAAATCGACCAGGAAAAGAAAAGTCACAGAGCCTTTGATAACAAATCCAAAGAGGAAATAATACTAAAGACCCCGAGACTCAAAAGCTTTGGAAGGGGGGGTGTTATGGGAACTTACCTATAACGATAATGGACTCTTCCTGACACTATAAATACTGCGCCTCTCAAGAGGTATAATGAATGAATGGTGTAACGAGTCAAGACAATGAGTTCACTCTAAACAAGACGGACAGTCATTACTAACATTTCCAACTTCTTGTACTATATTTCTGTTGTAATATATCTTTGTTATTCTACTCTTGTGTTCGTGTTGTTCTTCCTTGGTTCTAACCTTGGACCATAACTGTGGTGCGAGGATATTGGACCATAACATTACTAAACTAAGGATTAGGTCCTATTGCTATATTTTCTAAAAAAAGAAACAGGTCTTTTTGCAATTTTATTTTCCCCCTTAAGTTGTTATAACAGTGTTATGGAAGATTATCAGCATAACATCTTTTTTAAGCATCTGTTCCTTTTTTTCTTTTTATTTATTAGTGTTTTCCATGCCAAAGACCCCTACCTGAGTGATTAATAACATTTAAATTTAATATTCTGTTCAGTAGATAATGAACTCAATACCCTGAGAAGTAGTTTTCTTCTAAGTGGGGGAAGCAGGCTGATGAAGATTCAAAATTCTTTACAATGTAAGCTGATAAAGTTAAAAACTGTGCAGTGGAAGGAATAGACATTACGGTGATATATCTTTTAACAGAACTTAATTTCCACCACTAAAGGAAGAAAGTGTACCCATTTTAAAGTTTTGTAGTTATTACTGTTCCTTTTTGACCAGTTAAATCTGAGTATTCAAATAACTAGCATTTGTGATGAAGAACCACTTCAAATGACTTTCAGTTACAAGCACCAAGTCCAATAGGTTGCAGTATACTATTATTTCAACATTTACACCACCATCCAGTGCTGTAATCAAAATTTTAGTTCCAACCAAAAGCAGAAATAATTTTTGATGGCTTTTGTTGGATGATATTGCACAAGTGGCATCAACATTTATCTTTAGATGTGACTTTGATATAATAGCACTTTCATGAGATGATAGAATATGGAGTGTTCCAGGAATATATTGGCTATAGTAGAGAGAGGCTTATAAACAAATTCAGACTGCAAATCACCATTAGAAAAGGAAATACAAGGGGACCATTCCATCTGTCCAGAAAGTAGTTTTCATCAGTTGCAATAAATGTATTTTTATTCCTTTCAGTAGTTTTTTTAGTTTGAAGGTAAGAGTTTAAAGCTTTACAATAAGTATTTGTTTGAAGGATTGACCAATAATTCATTTCATGACGCAAATTTTTTAAAGTTTTGTAGTCATTACTGTTCCTTTTTGACCAGTTAAAAATTACAAGCTTTTCCAAAATGAGATATATGTATGAGAAAAGGTATTCAAATTACAGAGGAGATAACCGTTTTATTGAATTCCTCATCCCTGTACCTCCAGTGGATACTTTTTATAGCAAGTTCAGGATGACCCGTTTCTGCCTTACTATCAAATTGTGCTTCTGGCTATTTTTAGATAGTGTAAATATTTTTTTATTTTTTTTTATAGATACACTACTGAAATAAAATTTCAGCTTTATCTCTTGTGCTCTGAACCATAGTAAGAAGTTGCAAGGCATTAACTGTTGAAATGAAACTCATAAACAGTTATAATTGTCCTGTGTCATGTCTTAACCATTTCGTTTTTGAAAAAAAATTACTCACAATGCTTAGGCTGGTCCGAGATCATTGATTCCATTTTTTTTTTTTTTTTTTAGATATATTGGAAATGGAATTTTAGTTTGGGATACCTATTAGAAAACTTGACAAAGTTGAAAAAGATAAGCCCTAGATGAATTAAATTAACAAGTTATTTGAGAGAGGGAACAAAAAAACAGTAAATGTTGAGAAAAAAAATTATTTCTTTACTTAATAAACTGGTCAACCTATTATTAAAAATGATTTAAGTCCCAGACAATTTATGTTGCAACAATTCATAAAGATTTTACCTTTGTCTTTCCCATTCCAAGCGTTTTCGTTCCCTGTCAACTTTTTCTAATCTCCGCTGTTCTTCCTGCTCCTTAAGGGCACGATCCTACAGTAAATAATGAAAACAATCTAATAGAATGGATTGTGTGAACAAAGAGAGAGCAAATATGACATCAAAAGTTTATGAACTTAAATGAAATGAATAACCAATACTCAGAGAAACTAGTTTAGTATCCTCCACCAAAAGCAAGCAAGTTTATTCTAATTCATTTCCACTTAAAAGTATAATGCTTTAAAAAGTTAAGTTTATTAAGAACCTCTTATTTTTGCTGTAATTTTTGTAAAAGCAAATACAATTTGCTATTATCTCCAAATCCAGATTAACAAGATTATCGAAATAACAGATATTATTATATATATATATATATATATATATATATATATATATATATATATATACACACACACAATTCAGGACATGTAAAGAACAGTCCTATGGAACTCATGATATATCAACTGGCGACAAATGAACTCCCAAATGTAGTTACAATTGAACAGTTGCAGGATCTCTTACAATAGCAGAAGAAATAGTTTGAATACTCTCAGATGAAGCTGAATGAAATGACAATGCATAATTTGAATGTCCAGCTGAGTTCTAATCTAACCTCCACAGAATCAATGCTGTGTTCAATCAGTGATTTAAAGATTGCTACCTAAATCACATTTGACTTTTGGTTCAAAAAGTATGATTTGTTCAATTTTGATGACACACTGAAGATGCATATGCTGCTAAGGAAGCTTGGTATGTCTGAACAGAAACAATACATGAATTTCATTCTATCGAAATATCCCCGAGACTTCACTTTCACAGAAATGATGAACATGCTATGACAAATTTTTGATGCACAATCATCTCTCTTCAACACTTGTTACCAGTGTCTAAAGTTGGAGAAAAATCCAAATGACAATTGGTTCACTTATGCCGAACTCATCATGCTGAACTTATGATGGATGACCAATTCAAATGCCTCATTTTTGCTTGTAGCTTCTAATTGCCCAAAAACACCGAGATCAGATAAGATCAGGAACAACATCTCTCTCTGCACGCAGTGACCATGGAATACTAATACTTGGTATATCTGAGGCATGACATGGAAATGTTGGAGTGCAACCATCCCACTGATTCATAAACCTACACCAGACCCACACAACCAAACTGCAGATAAAGTGCGATCAAAACAAAAGCACCTCGATCTTCTACTACTTCTATTGTGGTGAGTGCCATTATGCTAAATATTGCAAATTCAGAAACCACACAAGTGCAAGAAATGATGCAAAGAAGATCAATATCATAACAGCAGCTGCGTAGTTGCCAGTCACATCAAACAGAAGAATACTTGGCATCATGCACTACAAAACTGAGTCCTTGATAAATCCTATAATCATAGACAGTAGCCATTGTTGCAATGGATCCATGAGACTATGTGCTGACTTCTCTATGGAACTGACTAAACACTGATTTGGAACAATATCAGTACCTCTACCTGTACCAGACAACCTCCTTGCCAAACTTGGAACGTTTTGTGAAAATTTTCAGACCCCTGTGGGGACTCATTATCATGAATTGTTCACAATCCTCACAAAGGCTTTTTTCCAATACAACTAGATCCCTTTCAGCATCAAAACATCCCTTTCCTTTTCTTAACTAATGGATACATTACTACCACATGCCACAGGAAAAGACTGTTACTTGGACAATATCATCACAGACTGACTAGAATAATTTGTACAATAAACTGGACATGGTAGTCTAATGGCCAAGTGATTACAATCTCAGCATTTACTTGGATGCCATAGGTTCATTATGGTTGTTAGTCAGACACAGCCTATACCGATGCCACCACACTATAACCTGCATGCACTTCAGGCTTTCCTTGGTCAGTTACTAACGAGTTCCTACCCTCATTGCACTGTATCAGAGCCCCTATCAATCTACTGCTTACTAAGAATGTAAAATAATGATGTCTGACAAGTGCCAAGAGGCTTTCAAGACTATAAAGATTACGTTCACTTCAGATTTACTCCTCACACATTTTGAGCCATCCCTATCAATTGTTCTGGCAGTAGATGTATCAAACTCAAGAAATGTTTACATTTCAGTTTCTCCAGACGGGTCAGAGAAGGCGACCTCACATGCCACTTGTATTCTTACAAAGGATAAATGTAATTACAGTCAGATAGAGAAGGAGGTATTGGCACTGATTTTCATGGTCTGAAAAGTTTCACAAGATGATATCCACTCCACATTTCATGTTGTTGATTGATCACAAATCACCGCTAACTGTATTTGGATTGAAAAAAAGATATCCCAGTATATACTACCAATTGTTTACAACTTCTAGTATATGATTTTCATATCCACTATGATCTTCAGTCAAGCTGACACTCTAATGTGCCTTAACAACAAAGCTACCAGAGGATATAGTGGTTTCAGCAATCAGTGTCTAAAAGGTTGTCCAATGAATGCAGTCAGATGCTATTTGGGTACTACAAGTCACAGCAAAAACAGGCGCAACATAATCAATACCTCAAGTAGGTACTCTAATTGCAGGAAACTTGGACAGAAATCAACCAAAAAGAGTTAACCCACTTTTTAATTGACATGAGTATCTTTCTATGATTAATGGATGCTTAACATATGGCGATCCTGCACTTATCCCATTATGTCTCCAGAACCATGTCCTCCAACAATTCAATATGGGAATTAGCCATGACCTGGAAAAATACTGCACACATTGCACAACTAATGAAAATGGACTGATATCCAGGCAATGAGGCAACCAATGGCAGATGCAGCTGTTCTGAAACAGACTGTGCTATGAAATTGTTTTGGAATAAAGATTACCACTGTTACAAATAATGGATCATAATTTACAGGAACTGTGTTTGCAGACTAGTGTAAACAGAATGGTATTTGCCAAATCACATCTCCATCCTCTCATCTGCAATTAAATGGACAGGTGGAGTATTTTATTGATACCTTTTAATGGGCCCTCATTAAGTTGAAGGGAAAAGGGCATCAGACTGAGCAATTCTTGCTGTCATAATGGACTACACCAAATGTTCCAGACAGATCATCTTCACGAGAATGTGTATTCGGTTGAAAGCTAAGTACATCTTTGGACTGCATGCTACCCAATTTCCAGCCCAACAGTCATTGGGATACCTTGACAGAGCATCTTGGAGACATAATGTTGAGATTATCAGACCTTGAAAAGTGGAAGCCAGAGGTTGTAATGCGTAAATGAGGCTAGGTAATGTAGGACACATATTGGACCACAGATTTGGTACAACAAATCAATCGACTTTGGAAGTGGACCAGAAATCAGCTAAAAGTTCTGCAGAAATCATAAATACATCTAGGCACCATATCTGATACTTCCAAAATACAATGTTGAAAATGTCCCAAACCAAAAAAACACCTGGATGTTTCACACCCCAAAAGATCATCAACACTTGGAATGAATTATTGACTGTCATTCAAGTATCTCTGGATTTCAGTACAATTTAAGGGATGTGAAGATCAGTTCTTAGGGACCCACAATATATGGAGAAGTTTCAACTGAAACCCACCTCAGCTGCTAGCATAATAGAATTTGTAGGTGTAAGGCTTAAATTTTATTGCTAAGTGCTAATAAAAGTGCAAGGAGAATATTAAATGTAAACTATGGTCCAAATTGATACTCTAAATGTAAGGAAATATTCATAACACACAATTTTACTTTCTTTATAACTGACTCAAACTTACACGCTCTTCCTTTTCTTTTGCTTGTTTTCGGAAAACTTCAAAGCACTCCATAGCAGATGTTTTTCTTACTGCACTTCCACTTGTGCTGCTATTCATTACTAAGCTTGACCAAGAACCTGCATTCTTTAGTCGAATATCTTGCTGTAAAGAGAGGGAAAAATATAGAGCTGTGGTTAAACAAAAATATCCCAGCAATAACATGTTAAAATAGCAAAATTTTGAAGCCTTTATTATTGACTGGAACTATTTTTTCTTTTGCTTCTCTCATTTCAAGTTTCTCCATCCAAGAATCATAATAGACAAAAATTGAGCAATAATAACTATTAACATGTAGCAAGACAGTTTTTGCAAAAATACAAGACAATTCAACATGTTAAATATCTAATTTGCACTGATCATGCTTTAAGTATAGCATCTATAAAATCAACTTGAGTATAAGAAAGCAGAGGTGTGGATGTAAAGAAAATACTGATATCGTTTGCAGGATGGAAAGAAATTGACAACTGACTTGTTACTTTTAAAAATCATATAGGAGTTAAAGGCTACAAAACCACTCATAATGTTATAAATTGAGTGTTTTTGTTCATACATTGAAATGTTATAAATTCTAGATTATGCTTCTGCCTTCCTTAAACTTATGGTTTAACCTTTTATCAGATCTATTTTCTAAAACCTATAATTTCAGAAATCCAAGCAATATACTGTTATTGAAAAACAATACAAGTATTTTAAAAAAGAAAACTAGAGAATCTATTCTTGCAGAGGAGATATTTAGAGCAACAATATTATTTACTATGCTGTATGCGTTCATACATGTATATGAAAAAGTTTTATGGGTTTAAGCAATTCAGAGATAATGTTAAACTTACGATAGAAAATAAGCTTGAATACAATTTAAACAATTTTTTTCCAAACATTCAGAAATAAATAACAAAAACAAAATGAAGACATTTTATATCCTTTCAAGGGTATAATCCTACATCAAGCTTGAATATTTTTTTGAATTAATACATTGTAGGCAAAAAGGTGCCCAAGTCTATAAGTTTTTTCATTTCAAGCTGTACCAATTAAATGTGTTTACAGGACATTTTAATGAGCAGATTTTTGTAAGAAACTCAATACACACCACAAAATTTAAAATTAGTTGTGATATTTATTAAAACAATATTTCAGAGATGACTACCAAGATTCCAAAAGCCAATAAAACTAAAAAGGAAAAATTTCAAATTCCAGATTACCTTAGCATTTACTTTTTTTCCTTTAGGTTCTTTTTTGTTATCCACCAGAGAGCCAATACCAAAAGATAAATTGGAACCTGTTAAAGATAAAGCAAGTGCATTATAAACATTTATTACAGGGTGTGTGTGTGTGGAGGGGGGGATTCAAATTTAGGCAAAGAAGTCTTGAAGGCAACTAGTGAATTACTCGATTGATCCCTTGCTATAGCCAGGCAAAGTTCACACAAACTTATGTTCACACTGAATTTATGATGCTTAACTCCACCCTGCACACTTTAAAAATTTAAAATTTGCTTTCATGTTTACAAGTAACTAATGCCTATTTAGTAGCTGAAGAACCCTGTTCTTTAACAGACTTACACGAAAGAGAGTGAGAAAGAGTGAAAAGTTATACAAGATTTCAATTTAAGCTGGAAATATTTTTAAAATTATGTGTTCACTATCATTTATTATAGTCATATACACAAAAATTCAAAGCTCTAAATTTTCTTTAAGAAAATTTTTTTAAAGGAGTTGAATTGCTGCATAAAAAAGTAGCAAGTATTTAAGTCATAAGTATTTTTAATGAATATAATGAATTGAAAGAAAAAGTGTAAGAAAAAAGAAAAGGAAAAAAAGCAGAGTTGATTCAATTATAGAATCTTACAGAAGTTATAAAAGATGATTGTGCACAACTATATTAAGAAACAGTAACAGGCAAAAACAGAAAAATAATCAAATTTTTTTCTCAAAACTATGGGATTTGACAAAGAAGTAGATTTACTAGATGTCACATTCAACCTGAGAGAAGGTACATATCAATGATATTGAAACCCAACACCAAAACAATTTACAGACATCTTCCACCAATCCAACATTACTAATCAAGCAGATCCCACAATCAATTAACTGCAGGTTACCTGACAATTTTTTCAGTGAAACCATTTTCAACAAAGCGAAGAAAGATTATGAAACAACTCTAAAAGATAGTGGATTTTCAGCAGCACTAACATACCACACACACACACACAAAAAAAAAAAACAATAAGAAAAAGAACATATGGTTCAACATACCATACAAAAAAAAAACAAAAAACAAACAAACATAGGAAAAATATTCATTAAACTCATCCATACCATCCACCCATCAAGCACCCTTTACAAGATATTCAACAAAAACAGTCAAAATTAGGTAGAGTTGCACAGAGACCATGACACAAATAATGAAAGACAAAATAATGAAAGACAAAAAAAAACAAAAACAAAAAAAAAAACAAACAAACCAACAAACCATCCACATAAATTAAACCCATGTGTAACTGCAGAACAAAGAATGAACGTTCTTTAAGTAGTAATTGCTTAAAAACAAGGTAATATACCAAGCCACTGTAGAATCAGCAGATAACAAAGAAAAAATATATACAGGAGTAACTAAAAGACCCTGGAAACACAGAAACTAAGCAAACAAAACATCCTTTACTAGATATGTTGAATACTTTGTTAAAAAAGAGCATACCCTGATGAAGAAAAAGGCCCAAAACATGATTAAACAATTTATCATCTGAATGTTTATGTTATTAAGAGGAAAGACCAAAGTTTTTTGGGGGTGTTTTTTTGGAATATTTAAAATTTTTTTAATCCTCTCTAGCACATCCAAAATTTTAACTAAAAATCTTTTTTTGTTAGCAAAATTGACAAAATCAATCATGTCAACCATTATTGACACTCTTGTGAACAAAAGTGAAATTCTCCATTTAAAAATCTTTTAAAATTCAATGATATTTTTTCCAAAAGTTATTTTAAGAAAATTTAAAGTATACTAAATGTAATTTGAAACAAATATTACTTAAGTTGGAAATAAGTGAAGCATGTCTAACTGTGGTGATTGGTTTAAGGTGTGAATTGACGTTTACATCAATGTATCAACAACTAATGTTAGGACAATTTATCAGACAAAGGTAGAAGTGACAGTATTTTTGAATTTTAAGTGAACCAGCTTATTTAACCATAAAGTAATCCTTAAAAATTAAATATTTTATTGATTTTTTTTAAAAACAAAGATATGCCCAAAGCCTGCTGTGTTTGTTACGAGGATGCATTTCTATAATAAGAAAGTCTCAATAAGATTAAAATTTATGGTAAGGGATTCTACTGAGTTCTACTTGTTATCACAAAAAAGTTTTCATTCATGAAGTAGTTGTAAAATAGAGAAATTAGAAATAGAATGTTTGGAAGATTCTATATCATTCTAGTATATTCGAGAAACATCTAGAAATATGCAAATTAGGTGTTAGCCCCTATAAAAATGGGATTTTAGAAAAGGGTAGCTAGTTGATGAAAAGAATTTCTGCTGTTATCAACTCCGGCTTTTGATTTGAGGACTATTATATCCAGCTGAAAGAATCTCTATAAAAAGTTGCCAACCAACAAAAACCCAAAAGAGAATTTCATGGAACAAATATGGTAAATAGAATTTTGACTAATTTTCATTGACCAAACAATTTGAAGTTTACTTATAATTTCTACATTTTATTTCATTTTGATAAAACAAAATAACATTCCCTGATTTAAATAGTGAAATTGTTTTTTTGTTTTTTTTTAACAATATTTAGTCCAAATCTTGCAAAATCGTGGATTTTTCAGTGCATTTTTGTCTACGATCTTTGATGCCAAATGCTCAAAAAAACGTTGAAGTGACAGATCTAATGTTTTGTATCAGTACTTAATTGGTCTATACAGAACTTTCGGTACATTATTCTTTCTGATATTTTTTAAAAAGTCAAAAATTGACCTACCCTAGTATACACACACTTTAAAAATCAGGAGATCATTTGAATCTGCTACATTGGTTTCAACCTTACAGTATCCTCAGGTGATTTTTATAAAATGACCTTAATGCTTTATTAAAAAAAAAACAAAAACAAAACAAGCACATGATGTTGGGTGTAATAGAAAGGGGGGAGGAGGATGTGAAGAAGGAAGAAAAGCATTATTATAAAAGTATTGGTTGGTTGGTGGTGGTGATTGAAAAGTACATTTTTTTTTTTTTAAATATCCAGCCTCATATATGCTTAATAGGAATTTCTTAATATGTATGTAATGACTAAAGACATCAGATTTCTGGTTTAAAAGATTCTTTATATCCAAAAAAAAAAAAAAAAAAAAAAAAATTTATATATATATATATATATATCTCAGTGGTGGATGTGCTAGGCAGGTTTCTTTGGTTGTTTGACATTGTTGCTTAGCTGCTGGCACTCAGGTGGTCTTTTCTGTCAGGCTTGTCCCTCCATCCATGTAGAGGGACGTTCTCCTTCCACATCATGGTGGTTCCTCAATTTGATCATTTGAATGTAGCTGTGGCTCACACTGTGTGGGGAGAGCAACTCGGGGGACTGGATGTCTGAATGAAGTAACACATCCCAACAAAGATCTGCAATCTTAAGTATACTCCTTCAGATATTCTGACCAATACATATGGTAAATAGCCATAACTTTGCTGCTAATTTCAGCATGAGTGCATTTACTATTCTTAGCAAGTTACACTCGAATTATCACTTGAAAGTGTGGGAGGCCATTTATATTTTATCTTTGAAACCCTCTCTGTGCAAACAAAGATTTTGTACTGGGCTTCAAACTAATTTCCATCTAAGCAATATTTTTCCCCCTCCCCAATACATATGGTTCATCTCTTTTTAGTGATAATTCTATATTTATTAACCTCAGTTTAGCTCTGTTGAGCGAGGTTTGAAACCAGTTAACTAGCTTTTCAGTTTTATCTTTTATCACCATGAGTGGTAATAAATATAAATTTTGTCTTTTTATGGCAGTCATAAAATTTGGTACACCAAACATATATAGTCCCCTGTATTTGCAAGTGTTAGGGACAAATAGTTAGAATTCATATACTTGTAAACCCCCAAAACTGCTTATTAAGTACCTATTTTGAAAAACAGTATTGGTGAGAATACACTTAACGTAAATTTTCTTTCATACATACAATAACCGTATTTAATTAAGCATAGACCAATACAACCATTGAAAATACTGTATAAAATTTAAAGTTTAAAACATTTTCTAAGAACAGAACTGTGATGATGCCTCAAACTTAGCATAAGCCACTTTTAAGATCCCAGCTGCAGCACCCAACAAAGATCAAAGCCCAAGCACTACATATGTTTTTGTGTTTGTTTTCTACAATCAAAACATACTATTCTACCAATTTTTACCATAAAAATGGATGGTTATGTTTTAAGTCACTTAAATAACAGGAAAATAATACAAGAATATTTTAAAAATGTTCTATTGAAAAAATACGCGAATCTAGAGGTTCTCAGTGAATAATTTGTACATATGTTCTTTAGAAAAACACTCACATATTCGGAGTTTCCGCAAATAACAAGTAAATATGTCCTAAAGAAAATTCATAAATGTGTGAAGGCATGGGCTCAGTGTGTGTGTGTGTATATATATATATATATATATATATATATATATATATATAGAGAGAGAGAGAACAGACATGTCATTAAAGTTATCATTATTTTTGTTACTGTGGAACAAATATAGATTACACTAAAAGTTAAAGAATCTGGAAGTTAATTTAAGAAAATGTATTTAATCTTGTGTACATGCAGGAATTGCTTTAATAAATTTATATTTTCAAAATTCTTACAGGGTAAATCTCTCAGTCTCTCTATTCATTTATTATAAAAGAAATAGGGAAAATTAAATACATTCCATATTCCTATAGTTCTGCAACACTTCAGAAACCATGTAACTAGCTTCTAACTTACAGGGCAGTTGAAATTAAGCATTAAAGGACTAGAATATATGACACTATTTAGCCAAAATACTCACAAACTGTGTTACCAGATGTAGTCGTTTTGGGACTGGGCTTTGGACTATTGGATTCCTCATCACTCATTGGAAATTTGAAAGCCTCTTTAGCTCTCTCAGCTGGAGGTGTTTGGACAACAGGAGAAGATGGCCGCAGTTCTGGGATGGATTTTAATGGCGATGAAATAAGTGGAGGTGGTGAGCCTGGTTTTGTGCTGTTCTGTGAATTGGCCATGTTGGCGCTGGAAACATTACCACCAGAATTTACTGGAACTGAAATATCAATGAAAAAAAGATTTTAAAATTTACATTATTAATTTTATAACAACTGCTCTAGAGATAAAAGCTAAATGATTCTCTCAAAAATCAGTGCACCACAAATAAGTTAGTGCAAATACTTTACACACACACACACACACACACACACACACACACACACACACACACACAGAGGGTGTAACAGCAAAATTGTCCAATTGTTACATTAAGCTCTGAACCCTTCTATCTTAGTAATGATTAAAGATATCTTACTGGAATTATCCAAGGTTTTTATAACACGATTGGACTCTACTGTTAACAATAAAAATGTATAATTACTCTCCAAGCTTAACAGAAGAATTGCGATGAAATCGATCAGAAACAAAGACATGTTCATCATTAATTAATCATAGCTAAGGATCGGAAGCTCAAGAAGTAAGATGATCTTTGCCCTCTCTAAACCTAACTTTCTGTCCTGGAGTAACAAGGTGCCTCAGACGTTTTATGCATTATTTCTTTTCCAACTCTTTTTTTCACTGCTCTTTGGACTGTTATAGCAAATTCCTCTCTCACGTGCCAAGTCTTATGAATCAAGTTGATCTTTTCTAAATGGATTAAAATTTTCTAATCTTTAGCTCTAGGTTGAAATGATAATCCTTTTTCCTGTTGTGACCTTCTGATCCAGCTTTCCTCTCTACTATTCCTTCTCTTTTAAACTCATTCCCCATTTTCTTGATGGTTCTTGAATGGACTTTGAAGATGGAAGCCAGAATATGAATGATGATACCATTACTGAAGTCCTGAAAGATCTTTTTTCCTCTCACCATTGTTCAGTTGCGAAGACAGTGTAACTGACATAAAATGATTTTAACCTGTTCTCTTTCTAGCTGAATAACTCAAAGGGTTTTTCAGTGATTTATGAAAAATGGTGTCAAGATGGCCAAACATCTTATCTGAAAACCTGGAAAAAAGAAACTTAGTTTAGTGTTTTTTTTTTTTAGATATTAAACACATTGTAGGATGAATAATTATGCTGTTACACAATTTTGCTGCTACACCGTGTGTGTGTGTGTGTGTGTGTGTGTGTGTGTGTGTGTGAGAGAGAGAGAGTGTGAGTGAGTGAGATTTTTTTTTTTATAGGCGCATTAACTATTAAATTTCAGCATAATAATAAATCAAAGATTAATATATAAAAAAAATATTAAATCTCACCTGGTGTGATTAATCATTATAGATTATAAAATAAAGTATTTCCTTAGAGCATGTACAAAAATAAAGCTGAGGAAAATCATTGACATGATTAACATATTGCATGTAAATATGCAAGGGTTAAAATTATCAATGTATATCAAATCTTTCCATACATCAATATTTTCTAAATATTTCTTCATAATCAATATATTGATCACAATATATATTACACATGCAATAAATATACCATATCAATTAAGGACAAAAAAAACAACAAAAAAACAAAAACCCTTTCGTGTTCTTTTCTCAAATCTGTTTTTGCTAATTTGTTAGTCATAGCAAAATGACTGAATGAAATAGCTTTTTATTACTCAATCATTGTCTCAAATATAAAATTTAACACGAAAGGGTAGATATGTGAGGTGCATTGAAGGGATAGGAGCCCACACATAGAAATACCTACCCACCTGCCGATTGACCACTCTGCAGTAGGAGTTTTCTAAAATCTGGGGAACAATAACTAAATATCAAGCAAAATTATTTGTCCACCAGTATGCTGCTGCAGCTGATGGTAGACACCTTGATAAAGGATTTGGCACTTACATGGAATTACAGAAAATCAATTTGAAAACCAGATTTTAAACAATTTAGTTTAATATTTTTGCATTTACATTAATTTATCCTAAAATCAGGCCCGATTACACTTAGGTTAGAGATATGACAACTGATACTGGCAGCTAAATTATAAAACAGCATGACACTCAAACTCACCTTGCAAATGATAAAATAAAAAGATTTTTAGATTCCCCCCCAAAATTCAGAATATGCACCCCCACTTTTTTTCATGAATATTTTGATTATCAACATATAATGAGCAATATTTTTAATCCATTGTCGAAAGAGTTGAGAAAAAAACAAATGTAAAAAGAAGGGAGTTTATGAAGCCAAATAGATGACACAAAACTGTGACAACAGACTTCCAGCAGGTCAGTAGGTATCCCTAGATACGGTGTTGGCCCTAATTAAGGATGGGTAGGTGGGGATAAAGCAAACTCTGGGAAAGGGACAGATTTGAAAGAAGGCAGAAGACCTATATATAACTTACTGGTTGTTTTGATCTGCGGTTTAACAGTTGCAGTGGCAGTTGGCCGACTAGGTTGCATTGGAAGTGCATGTGTTATAGGCTTTGAGCTTAGAGGAGGAACAGCTGTAGGGAAACAACAAGTTGTATTAGTACACTACCAACACATGGCCAACACTTTGCTTGCCAGCAATTATTCAGGCAGCAGAGGTGAATATTAACAAATAGATTTCACAAAAGCCAGCAGTAGCCAGCAGAGAGAAGACCACATGGCAATACTGTCCCACCTGAAAAAAGAATCCTCAGACAAAGTTGAAGATATTAAATAGATGCAAATAGCCAACCTGAAGGTCAACTTTGACAAAATTGGCTGAAAGTATATGTAAGATAATTCTTCAAAATTGTCAAACAGCATTAACATTTCACCTTAACATTGAACACCCTATACTATATATGCCTCATTCAATATTATTTTCTCCATTTCCAAATAGTTTAGGAGAAGTAAAGTAAAGATTGTGAGAGGACAAGGCATTAATTCACATTATCTTAAGAGATAAATACATGCATCAGAACCCGAAAAGTTTTAATTCATGCAAAGATGAGATGACTGTACCACTTTTGAAAAGGAGGAGGGGGGTCTGATTAAGATAATAAACAAAATGCTAATTATAAAAAATTGTAACAACACTAAGCATAATTTCATATCTTAAAAATAAAGGAATTAAATTGAGCTACACCACAACTTTTTCATTTAAATTTAAAATGTACTGCAAGTAATTTAAAATCACACTATGATTGAGCAAAGTCTAAAATTTAGGAGCATCTAATCAGTTATAGTATGGATAACTAAAATGACAAAAATGCATTGAATCTCAAAGGGCTAAGAGTAGCCAAATTAAATAATTTTCTGTTATACTTTACAATTACTAAATCAGTTTTATTTAATGGTGTAAAAGTATGTTCAAATGTTAGAAAAAGAAAAAAAAAGGTTGAATTTAAAAATTTGTTCTCTTAGTTTTATGGCATGTGTGTATATGTGTGTTCTAAAACTTCATCTAAAAAGATTGGAGAGGAGAGGAAAAAAAAAAAAAAAAAAAAAAAAGGCATTTTTTTTTCTTTTTCTTTTGTGAGGAATATTTATTTGGATAAGCATCCTCATCTTTGTTGTTAAACTCATTTTGCCTGTCGTCCCCTTTTGGTCATCAGTCATAATTGGTAACCTTCACAAAATCTTTATTCAAGCCAAAGGGGCAAATTATTCTCATTCCGTTTTCCATGCAGAGTTTGGTTCAAAATTCTGGTGGTTACAGACTACGATGAGGACAGGACCTGAAGAAGGCTGGTGAGTCCAGCAGTGGAAATGTAAGTACAGCAACTAAGATGACCATGATGGTTCAAATAGGTAAATGACAATTTTTTCTTTTTTTTGTTTTTAACAGAAATCTGATAATTAGTAAATTTTTAATGTTTTTTTCCACCTAAAATATTTCACAAGCAAATTATCACATTCTAGTTTTACACAATTTAATACAAATATCTATTACTCCCCCCTCTCTCACTCTTTATATATATATATATATGGATTTTCTCTAATATTAACACAAAAATAATAAAATTGACTTTTATAAAAGTTTTATTTTTTTGTCAAAAGTTTGTGAATATATGTATTGCTTAGTTGTGTTAATCCTCAAAATGAATTTTATCTTCATTGTTTAAATATACATTCATTTCAGATTAAGAGACATGTTAAGAGTTTTACAATTTTGCCATAAGAATTACTAACATTAACTCCTTTTTATATTACTGATTTTTATTAACTATCTTAGAATTTTCTTTCAGATAAATATTTAAATGAAGGTATTTAACAAGAAAAAAAAAAAGTTTTAAATCATTATTTCATGAGACATGCTTAGGTCAAAATATAGTCATTTCAATAATTGTTGATAAATAAGGATTTAGGTTTATATACCAAGTCATAACCTATAAGGTTGATTTTCTAAGCCTAGTTTAGATGTGGCACAAGGCTGAAAGTATAGGACACCCAGTTAGGATTGAACTCCCTATTCAGTGATAATTGACTTAGCAAGACAAGCTTGCTAACCATTAGCCCATGGCAGAGTGCCCAAGTCATAACCTATAAAGTTATGACTAGAAGTTCCTTACTTGCTAAATGAGATTAAGTAAGTAGAGAATAATCTTTCCAACGTTGTATAATTATTATAATGTTCTTTAAAAAAATATTTACTTGTCTATTCAGATTTGATAATCAAGATAAATACAAATAAATAAGCAACATTTATTCATGAGCAGAACTATCAGTTAATTTCAACGCCTTGAATTTCTCATTTTCACAAAAATCATCTATATTGTCAGAAGTTACAAAAACATTTCCAAAATATCTCTCTGCACACAATGGAGTTGAAAGTAAGCTGCATAGAAGATCCAACTTAGAAACCAAGGTAGCTATAATAATAGGAGATGGAGAACCCAATTAGTATCAATTTCTAATTAATTGACCCAAGGTGGTACGTATATTATAGGCATATCCTTGATCTACGTACAATTATCTAAATATTTTTAAATTCACTTAAATTATGTCATTAACTTTTGTTCTCACCCAATACAATTAGTTTCTCACTATCTTACTGTTGCATTTTGACACACTGTACCAAATTCACTTTAACTTCAAAAATTTCAACAAGACTCATTAATTAGACAATTGGTTCAATATTTTGTCTAATTATTGAACCAATTGCATATGAATACATGCAGTTATATGTAAATATCATTAGAGATAAATGAATAGATTTTAATGGAATTTTTTTTTAAGACTTAGTCACAAATGTTCTCAGAATAATCAATCTACAGTTTTTTTTTTGTTTTGTAAGTTAAAAATAATGGTAAACACTTTTCTGACAGATTTCATTAGAATTCACCTGTTACTCTAATATTTATAGCTGTAAACCAACATGATTATTTCAGACTTTTCCACATTCAAAAAAATAAATGCTCAATGATGAGTTGAGCAAGAATTAAAAGCAAATTGATTGTAAAGTTTATCAAAACAATTCATGAAGATGTTAACTGGTAATAGCAATCAATACACTTTTCATTTTATTTTGAACAACTGTTTAATCATGACTGGATAAGTCTACATGAATTGTATATACTAAAGTAATCTTTCAAACTAATCACAAAAAGATTTTATTTAAGTTGAAATGCTTTAGCATGTTCTTGTTTCTAGTGGGCTTACTTGACAAAGTGGTCAGTTGGAATTCTCTCGAAATTTAAAGCGAGAGAGAGAAAAATGTAATCTAATAATGTTTAAATAAGTTATAACAATATTACAAATGACTTAGTGTAAGAGTCCCCAAATACTCTACAAAAATAAGTAAAAACAAATAAATCACAGAAAAAAAAGGGGGGGGGTGGAAAAAACAATGAAATAGATTTTTCAGTTTGCCAGTGCCACACACACACAAGTCCACACCCCAGCTTTTTAACTATAGTCCCAAAATGTTTCAAGACAGAAGACAAAGTAAAAATGAAATTGGGAGATAATATTTTAAAAAAACAACAAAACATACCTGCTACAGCTGGTGATGTATTAGGTGGCTTGTGTTGGATCACTGATGTTGGAAGACTGGCAGGGGAGGGCCCTGCTGAAGAAGCCATCTGTTGTTGGTAATGAGTGTGATGATCAGTGGCCTGGGCCATCTGAGTAGGAGTGTTTCCAGCCACACTCCCAGTACCAGCACTACCACCACCAGTGGAATTACGCTGCATTTGATATCCCTTATCTGGCATCTGTGATTGTACATTCCCTCCAATAGTTATTTTAACAGATGGTGACATGGCTGGACTTAACTGTGGATACAATACAAATATATTTGCAACAAATAAAAATACTCTTAACTACAAATCTTAAACTATTTAACGAACTAAGAGAAGAAAGAAAAAAAAGAAAGAAAAAAAAGAAAAGAAAAAAAAAAAAAAAAAACTGCACCCCACCAAAAACTAACATACAACTTCAATAAAACTACTTGTGCACTATTGCAATTTTTAATGCAATTAAATCCCAAAATTTTAATTCTGTTTAAACAATGATGTTCTCTAGTTCCAATTAAGTATAAAACATTAAAATAATCTGAAAAATAAACATTAGAATTCATTAACTCACTACTATAATTTACGATACAGGTCTTGACTAGACTCCTGTGACATATTAGAGATATCTAGTATTAAATGTTTTTAATGGAATTTCTCTTAAAGTGAGGGCAATGCATAGACCCGATATTCAGCAGCAACAGTACCCTGCACCTGAAAAAGCTGAAGCACGTTTTATGTATAAAATTTAATGAAGATAATTTCTTCAAACATACAGTAAAATGTAGGCTATATCAACCAAATACACTAGAATCGGCTTGTTTATGGCTTATCAACCCCTTATGGGTCATTTGGAAAACATATTCTTACTAGTATGAGACACCTAACTGTAGATATATAGATAAGTTTAGACAGAACCACATTGTAACAAAGAAAATTAATTACATATTACCAATGAACTATATCAAATTGCAACCTTCCACAAGAAAGTTGACTAAGTGAGATACTAGCTACAAAGTGTGATTCCCTTGAAATTTTTCTCTATACTACATTAAATACTTAATTCTTGAAAAAAAAAAATTTCTTAAAAAAGGATAGATGAGCTGACCATACATTATCAATATTATAAAAAGGAACTTTGTTCTTTATCTTATCAAAAGGAACTTATTAAATACAAAAAGAAAAGCACACCTTATTAACTAATACAATGCAATAAATAGAAATATACAATTGCCATAAATACAGTAAATCAAATGAAATGCACAAAACTAAGAAAAAGAAATGCATTTTTCACAAAATAATGTAATTTTACCAGATTTGCTAATTTTTTGGTGTTTTTATGATTGATATTAAAAGCAAAATGTCAAAATATATTTGACAAGTTTTCTTGCACATATCACAGGAAGTAAAGAGTAGTTGTAATGATCATCCAAGACCTTGTACACACACACACAAAAAAAACAAAACACACACAATTTGGATTAAATATAAAAGGTGTTAGAGAAAATAATATTGACAATCTGGCTTTTTACTTTGAGTGGCTGTAAGGAGAACTGTTTATTCATTAACCTACTGCAATTTTTTTTTATGGGCAGCATAAAATATTTTCTGAAAGTTTTAAAAATCTTTATAATATACTTAATCACTGATTATATAAACAAGATTCCCTATATTGAATGATAAGGAAAAGTATCAAAAGCAAAAATTCCATTAAGTACCTTTAGTTACGCACAAACACTTAACTGAATCTAAGGGAACTTTTCCTTCATATATTATCACAATGACAAGCTTACCTTTTGGGTTTCAGTCTTCCGTGCCTTCTTACGAGGAGTTTCTGCAAAGGAAATCAATATATACAATGCAATTAATTCCTTTAAAAACTAATTTTGATCCAGATTGAAGAGGAAGCATCCATGTTAAGTGTGAGAGGCTTCAATGAAACTTGAAATGTGAAGATAAGCACTTGTCAGGGAACAAACCTAATTGTTGAATCTAGGTTTATAAAGTGCTCACTGAACTTGGATGTTGGTAAACAAGGTCACCACTGCTCCAACCCAAAGTTTTCAAATGAAGGGTGGAAACACAGGATCTTATACCCATCTGCATCCACCCAAATTTAATGAACATTCAGAAATAAATGTATGCTATTACCTTTTGCATCCAAAATTGAGATTTTGAAGTTAAATGATTCATATTTAAAATTACAAATGTAATATTTTTCATCCAAAATTAAGCTATTAGAACAAAAGTAAAAAATAAAATAAATAAAAATATTAGCAATGAAGATCTAATGTTTGCTAAAATTATTCAAGAATATTCATAATACTACATTTTAAAAAGGAACAAACTTTAAGAATCTGGTAGTACTTAGGTACTATTAAGGGCAAAATTAGCTACAGCCCAAGCAGAGTATAGAAAATAAAGACAGCTGCTCAGAAGGCGGTTACATAAACTTTCAATACATGTACTCTTTAGTTTTCGTATGAAAACAGCTTGAAAGAATTTTTTTTTTTGATGGCCAGGTTTGTTTGGGAACCCTTTGAAAGAACAAGCATACTCAATACAGTGCTGTGCTACATCTAATTTTTTTTTTAATTACAAATTTGTTAATATGATCCCTTGGGATAATAGATAAGAGAAATTGTTTATATGCTCACAAAAACTTTAATGACAAGAGAGGTAATCTATACATTCCTTTGATACTAGAAATAACACTCTTCAAATAGTAATTATTTCAAAACTTTATAAAATAAGAGTAAACCAAAAAGAATAATTGTGATAAAGTGTAACTATTCCAAGCAAATTCTAAATGACAGTATCTTTCAAAATTATTTATGCTTCCTATTAGTTAAGTTCTGGATAATTATAACATTTTAAATATAAGCTCTGAAGCAGCAAGCAGAAATTTTGTTTTACTAAAAACATGCTCAGAAACACACCACAAACAAGTAGTGCTTGAACTGTTTCAAATGTGAAATCTACACATAAATTGTACAAAAAGAGAATAAAATTCTAAAGAAAAATTAAACTAATGAATGTGTTGCTGGTCATTTATGATAAATAAAAAAAAAAAAAAAAAAAATATGTACTGAAGCCAGCCATCTCACGAGAAAAGGCATAGAGACTAATCTTTTCATTTTGATAGTGAGGGGAAAAAAAGTAACAAGAAATATACAAATTTAATTTCTGAAATTAGTAAGGTTATCCATGCCATGTTAGGATAACACTATTTTGAATACCATATTTCCTAAAATAATAGGATAGAATTTTAATTCAAATTAGCAAAGTCAGAAATAATAGCTATAAAGCCTAAGGTACATAAATCAACTAGAAAAATGGCCAACAGTTAGCCAAACTTTTACAGCTCTCAAACTGATGCCAATCTAAGCTAAGACTAGTATTTTTTTTTTTTTTTTAATTTTTTTTTTTTTTCAAAAAGTGAAGCCTTAATGTTATTCAGTTATATAAACAAAACAAAATTTATAAAAAGGAAATGAAAATTGATCTGAAAGAATGAAAAATAAAAAATAAAACACACACATTGATTGGTGGTCTGGAATCATGTAGATCAGCTGTCAGCAGAATACCTCAAACTGGCAAAGATCCAAGGATGGAAGATACTCAATGAGCCAGCAACTTACCAGTCTTCACAAAGGAGAGGAAACTCACGAGAATCAAGATTTAAAGAGAGGAGGAAAAAAAATTTAAAAAAAAAAAAAAAAAAAAAAAAAAAAATTTTTTTAAATAAATTTTTTTTTTCAAAATCCCAAACCTGCTACGGTGAATGAAAGTCATCATTAGAGGAATTCCTTGAGCCAGGTTTGCAGTACTTGGCCATCCAAATAATCAAGGACTTGAGACAAAATATAAAGGCACATTAATTTTCTGAAGATAATTTTTAGGGGTGATCCTAAAAAGCTATATCACATAGGAATTTTTCAAAATTTTCGATATTGATTTAACAATGTTTGAATGAAAGTGTGTGTGTGTATATATATATATATATATATATATATATATATATATACACACACACACACACACACAAAATTTACATAGAAATTAAGGAAATCAGTTACTTTAAAAATATTGAGAAATGACTTTAAAGCTAGGCAGTGTATATTTTCCAACACCTAAACTTCAACAGCACTTAAAGCATCACAATATACTACTGTAAATACATCCAATAACTGCAAATAAATGTAAAGTTCTCAATAGTAACAGAAAACAATTTTGGGGATACATTTTTCCTAAGTTTCAGCATTAAGAAAAATATCTATTTTCATGAAGGAAGTAGAGAGAAACAGTCAAAATGAAAGAAAAATTTGAAACCAATGTTTCTCCTAGTAAATACATTGAAAAATATAGTAATTTTATTATTTATTTATTTGCATTGAACATTATGTAAAGAATTACTGGCTGGTCAGCCAACAGAAGATAGTGATCAGTCAAGGAAATAAATTCACAGATTTATTATTTGCACTTACCTAGATGAATGGCACTTAAATCTAGGGGATTGTGCAGGGGGACCAATTATCTTGCTCAGAGCATATTAAATAATTAATATATAGGAAAAAAAATAATGAAAACTGCAATTGGAGTCTGAACTGGCAGATAAGAAAGGTGTTTGAGTTCAAATTGATATAACAAAATTAAAAATGGGAAGAAAAAAGGAGGGGAGGTATTCCACTGAATGATGACCCCCATCACACTGAAAGAACATTGTTTGCAGGTCAGAATAAAACTCAAAAAGATGGTTAATTTGACACAATAGAGATATTATGCATTGCCTCCAACAACTCATTCTACTAGTGGCTTGATTGCTAATAATTAGAACTTAGTAAGCATTTACTCAATAAATGTAACTTATAAAAATAAAAAAGGGATCCCATTAGTTTAGAAAATTGAACTATTTAAAATAACTGAAATTCCCCAATTACAAATGTGTGTAAAAAAAATAAAATAAATAAATAAAAATAAAAAAAAAGATAAAAAAAAGATAAAATAAAAAAGCCCAAATACAATCATGAATAAAATGGGGAGGAAAATATGCTATTTTGAAATCAAACACTAAAATAATTGTACATACATTATCATTCATGCATTACATGTAAGACTTAAATACTAGCAAAGAAAAGAGTACTATTTACCCGAGACAGATTTAAAAAAAAAAAAAAAATTCTAAGATTATAAAAGTGATAGTTAATTCAGTTTTGATAGACCAAAAAGTAAGCATATGAGACTTACAACTACACATGACCAGTAGCAACACAATCATTACTTAAGATTTCCTTAACCAAGGAAAGAGAGAGAGAGAGAGAGAGAGAGAGAGAGAAGAGGGGAAAAAGAGTCTAGACAAAGTTCCAAATATGCCTTGCCGTAAATACAATGAACTTACAATTATCACAGAACCATACTACAAAATACCACTATAGTTCATTCAAAATCCAACCGAGATAAAAGACAAAGATTTGGCCAATACTAAAATTACAACAGCAGCATATTTTATTTCATATATAATATACATACACAAGCAAGCAAATGCATTAAGTAAAGCCATTCACTGAATAAAAAGCAGCTATGATTATCTATGTGAAGAAAAATGGACAACTAGCAAAGGCAAGGCACAATAACCAAAATTACTCCTTGCAATAAAAAATGAAAATGCTTAAAGCTCTAAAAAAAAAAAAGAAAAATTAGCAATTTATAGAAACAAATTGAGTCACCACTAAGCCCATCTATTTAGAACCTTGGGACATTACCGAAACCATAGTGGTGCAGGGTGAAACAGTAAATCAAACAAAGTAAAAAAAATAAAATAAAACAGTGTACCATTTCTGATGAATGGGTAATATGTGGCAACTGTTCTTGCCATAGTAATAGCTGCAGGCAGTGTGAACAAGGAACAGTAGTGCAACAACATTTATACTATTTTATATCAGAGAGAAAAAAAAAAAAAAAAAAAAAAAAAAAAATAAAAATTTTGACTGCAGCTCATCTTAAAGATTGGTCAAAGGAATTAAAAAAAAGAAAAACAAACAAAAACAAAAAAAAAACAAAAAAACAAAAAAAAAAAAGTAAAACTAAATGGATATCTGCTCAGACAACAAATTGCTACAGTAGTGCACACAATAGAAAGCTGCCAGCAAATAACTAGTCATGATTCACAAGTGAACAACAGATAACCTACCTGGCTGAAAGGATCAGACAAGCAATATGGAAAGGTGATGGAAGAACATATCACCATGACAACCTTTGCAAAAAGAAAAATATTTCCCTACGAAGGAAGCCAATACTCACTTCACAAGAAAGAAAAGAAAAAAAAAAAAAAAAAAAAAAAAAAAAAAAAAAAACAAAAAACAACCAAAAAAAAAAAAAAAAAAAAAAAAAAAAAAAAAAAAAAGTAAAAAAAAGAAAGAAAAAAAAACAAAAAACAAAAAAAAAGAAAAAAAACAAAACAAACAACAAAAAGGGACGAATTATAGGAGAGGGCCCATCCCGTCACTAACATTAAAAATAATAAAATAAAATAAAAATTTTCCATTGGAAGACTGATTTTTCTCCCCCCCTCCCGCCCAGCAAGTAATATTAAATAGTTCAAGCCATGAGTGCAGAATGTGTTGTTTTAGTAAGAGGCAACCCAAAATTAAGAGGCCAGTAAACAACACACACACAAAAAATTAGATCCTTTTCTTTATTTGTTTTAAAAGATTTATGCTGCACATGATGACGACCATTAGATGTATATACAAAATGAGGTAAATGATGTAGAATTTACAATACTGAATAAGGTACAAATGGTGAACTATTCACTACAGTAGTACTGAGTTGTTTATATACATACAGTTAATGACACACCACAAAGGTACACAGAGTCAGGCCAAGGTTTCAAAGATGACTACCTATGCCAAGATATGACCTGCAACAGCAGATAGTCTCTCTTTAAAATGACAGATGATCAAAACACCTGACAATAGAAAAATGAAGCTTATGGACTTGTATTGAGAGGAATGCAAAACAAAATACTCATAACGAGCCATGGAGTGCATAAGAAATGTGTTGCAGCAGAGGCCAGAGTTTCTTTTCATTAAATTGATTCAGCATTTTATTTTTCTTTTCTTGAAGCAGCAGCCTGCTTTTCATGATATACCTGCCAACTGATGTAAATTACATTGCCTGCCCATAGCAGTCTACATATACTGATTTACATCTGGTCACGCCTCCTTGCCTTACAGACAGTATAGTGGCTGGCTCTAGTTCAAGTTGGAAGGTCAACACCCATGCACACCCAGCAGAAACCTGACTTATAGAACTTAGAATGAGAATGGAAGGTTATTTAAAAATGACACCCTATCATACCAGATGGATGATACATGATTGGCTGAGTTACTGAAAAATCATGAAAATTTTATATTATATATATATATATATATATATATATATATAAAATGTGTATGTAAAGATAAATATATGTTAAAACATATATTTGTCCCAATATATACAAGCTCAATCTGTCTTTTTGAAAAAGCAAGAAAATAAAAAAAAAAAAAAATGTAAAAAAAAATAAAAACGAAATAAATAAAAATAAAATTAAAATGAAAAAAAAAAAAAAAAAATGTGAGCATGTTGTAAAAGTAGTAATATTATGCAATAGAGATGACTAGGCTATTAAGTATGCCATGGAGGGAACCAGCCACTGATGGCTGGCCTCATACTACAAACACATTCTGCACTCTTGGCTAAAAAGGCTAAGTTGTTCTTCCATACAACTTGCCTTGTCATGATCCAGAAGTTTATCTGGAAGTTAACACCCCATTATTCCTACATGTACAGTATACACAGCCCGCAATCGATCAGCCTGTCATCTTTGGGTTCCCACTCGAACAATAAATGGACGAGTTGGCAACGATCATGAAAACTTCCAGTAAAAATGTTTATGTAACCAGAGATGGCCATATTATCATTTCCTAAAGTTTCACTTCGTTCCTTTGTGTTTGATCCTTGGAGACTACAAGTTAGAGTGGCAGCACTGGTAGTAGTGCAGTAGTGTTGTCATTGGTCTAACCTGATTCAGAGTCACTGGAGTCTGAAGAGCTTGATGAGGTGGTATCACTGCTTGAATCTGAGTCTGATGAGCTGGAACTGGTTGCACTCAAGCGAGAACCACTATTCACATCACCAGCAACATTTTCTTCTGTAAAAAAAAAAAAAAAAAAAAAAAAAAAAATAAAAATAAAAAAAATAAAATAATAAAAATCAACAAATGTAAGTAAAAAGTTGTGTAAACTTTTCTTTAAATGTTAATTTGAGAATAAATTACAAGTATCAAAATTTAAATTTTCTTAGGACTAGGGGGAGGTGAGGGGGGAAAAAAAAAAAAAAAAAAAAAAAAATCACACCCTGTTGAAAGAAAGCAGCCTAAGAAAATCAATGACCAAACAAATAGTACCAAAGAAATAATTTGTAAAATAGGGATGTGTGCACACACACACACACAAAAAAAAAAAAACAAAAAAAAAAAAAAAAACATTAGGTTAGGTAACAACTGAGCTTTGTTCTGGAGAGAAGGTTGAACAACATTACCTTTCTTGATGGGTTTCTTTGATCCCTGAAGGTGTCCAGTAACATCTTTCAGTCTTGCTTCAAGTTCTTGCTTTTTCTCCCGTTGAGCTTCTTCTCTTGTTTTACCTGGTAATTTCTTTGCTACAAGAGAGTATACATAAAAATGTAGATAGAGAATTACAAATACAAAAACTTATTATATAAATTTAACCTAAAAACTTTAAATAAAAGAAAGGAAACTAGCAAATATTATACTTAAAACTATAAACTTACGTATATATGGTTTCCGTGGTTTTTTCTTCAAACAGGACATCACATAAGATTCCAGCTCTCGGAGTGTTGAGGGCTTTAATGTTTCAAAATCTATTTCGATCTCATCAGGATTTGAATCTCTTAAGGACGGTTCTCTTGATTGAATTATATGTACAACCCTACCCAACTTGTCACCTAAATAAGAATAAACACCAAAATTTCAGTAAACAAACATGAAAGAAATATAGATATAAAAGAAAAGAATAATCATACAAAGAAAAGTTATGCAACAGTTTTTGTAACTGCCTTAGACACATGAGTGTTTTGTTACCCACATTTTTTTTTTTTTTTTTTTTTTTTAAGTACTCTTAATTCCTAGTTGGTAACTTGTTTCTTTTGCTGCCTCTCACTAATCTCCTGACTCAGTAAGAGTGTGTAACACAGTTGTAGCCAAAATTGTCATGGGAGGCAGAAATCACTTACTCTTCTTTGGGGTGTCCCATTACCCCACCTGACTAATGAAGGTAAGTTTAGGCATAAAAATATAAAGATTACTTTCAGTCCTGTAATTATGAGGTTAGTTAATGTAATATCTTTCTATATTGTGGCTATTTTTGCTGAATAAAACTTTTCTCTATTATTTTATCAGTGTGTTATCTCTACACAATTTACAACATATGTTATGCAACAAATTTATTATAATTTTCATTTCATTGAATAATTATATCTTCAGTTCAAGTTGATTTAATGTATATTGCAATGGAGATATACTACTTTGTTTATTTTTTTTCTCCAGCAATACAATATTTTACATAATTGTAATACTAATAAGCATTTTTTGTATTAGGTGAGTAAACACCCCCTGTAGACTATCCATGTTCAGAAATCTGAAATGACTAATGCAGAGTTAAGATCGAGCACATGCATGTGATGTTGAAGATGACTTCCAACATAAAACTGGACAAACACCAGTGCAAGGCGTAACAATATTTTTTCATGTCAAGGACAAAAATCCAATTGTAAGGGATAACACACCAATACAATAGAGAAAAGTTTTATTTGGTGATCTTAGTAAAAACATAATGAACAGGAAGCAAATATCAGCTTTGTGTAGTGCATTCAGAACTAATTTAAGGAAAAGACTGTATAAGGCACTCAAATTCAACAAGACAACATTGCAAGCTTTGATTCAATATGATTTCACAAATTTCATGTCTATAAAACAGGATCTTTTGAAGTTGATCAAAGAAATTGTCCATAAGATATTGGAAATTGGTCCAAAGTGATTGGCTGAAGTTCCAGTGCATGGGAATTTTTCTTCCAGATTATATAGTAAATGATGGGGACTTTCTAGAACACATTATCATGAGACCTGCATGCATCTTGTTATTCCAGAGACAAAGGTAGATTCTGGAACCATTGTTACCAATCCCCTTTAAGTTTAGTTGCCAGCAAATAAAGATGTGTGCTGTTTATGGACCCCATATTCCAAAGACATAAAACATCCAGATATTCTTAAACAGCAGATAGATCACATGTTAAAAAGGTCGGAAAATTTACAAGTCATCCTGCTGCAGTCAATTTCACACCATGCACAATCAACCTGATAAAAGAGTGAGTCCAGGAAAATGGTTGCCTTGTTTTACATCAGCCTGATTTTGCTCCCTTCAGCTTATTTGCTTGGGCCACTCAAATGACATTTACCAGATGCAATTTTGCAAATATGGCTCTAATTGCTTGAATCTATATTCATTGAGTAAACATTTGTACCTCACACTTCATATTTAAATTTTCCTAATAACAGAAAGTACAAAGATAAATGCTAACTGCTTAATTTCCAAGCTATTATAAATATAATATTAATTCTCCGTGGCATTATTTTTAATTTAGTTCATTACTAAGAAAATGGAAAGATTAACTTTTGTACTATTTCATTTTGCAAAATATTTTATCTACATATCAATATCAATCTTTATCAATTTATGAATCCCCATTTTTAATAATTTCAATTGGCTAGCTTAAAGGTTGTGCTAAACTCAAATTTTGTAAATATAAAGACTGAATATCACTAAATACTAGTGTTCACAAGTTCCCTGACCCATTAGTGCCATAGGTATACCATAAGCAACACAGGTGAAGTGTGCTAAGATAACCTGATGGAATAAAACCCTCTTCAGTTTTGAATTTTATAGTAGTACGTTTAGTAGTGCTACCTATATGCTAGAGTAGTATATGAATAATAAAAACAGGATTGTGTGTGTGTGTGTGTGTGTGTGTCTCTCACACACGTGACGTGTTTAGATTGGCTGCCAGAATTTCAATAAACAATTTGTAAATCAGTTCTAATCAAAGTTAAAAAAAAAAAAAAAATAAATATATGATCTAAAATTGAATAGATGGTATTTTTTAAGATAACTGCATACAATATACAAACTTATGTTTTATAAAAAATATTGACATGAAACTACTGACAGGAAAAATTGAAAATGATAAATACATAATATAAAAATAGGAGTAACGTTAGTTTTTTTATAAAAAGCAATGCAGCTTAAGCAAAGAGCAAGTACTTTGAATATGGTCATTTTAGTCAATACTGCAATTTGATATCAATAATTAAAAAAAGCTTGATTACATTAAACCAAATTATTGAAATTAAAACAGAATAAACTCAAAATTTATTAGTCTTATTCCGATTTTGAAAATCTATTTAAAATACTTTTCCATTTACAAGTTGTAAAAAATTGCTGAAAGTAAAACATTTATTCTACACTTAAAAGAAGATAAGACAAAGTAATTTTGATTTTGTAGTCAATTGCTGTTTTGAATGTAATTGGGTTTATCTGTCTTTTATATATTAAAGTATTTTTAATCACAATTTCCAGGTAAGTGAATGTTAAAATTTAAATATGCAGATAATACAATTCCTTTTGTGTAAGTGATGTTATAGATCAGATTTTGGGATATCTTTCTCCATTAAATTTGAACTGGAGTTTTCATTGATATCCAAGTTATAATTTCATCTTGCTTTAAAATTTTGTTTAGGTAAAAATTTAACATGCATTTATCAGTTTACTAAAATAATTTCAGAATGAAAATGCTTTTTAACATTCTTAAATCTTTTATGGTATATTGCTGAAGACCATACTGCAATAAAATGTAAGTTTCTAACAAAGTGTTGTTTTAATTAAAAATCATATAGTAATAAACAGTAGTAACATGCATTTTAATAGATTTAATATAAAAAACAATGTGTAAATAAAGTATTGAAATTATTATTATTGTGTGTGTGTATATATATTTATGCTTCTCCCAATTTATGACTTAAGAGTTTCATGCCAAAAGCATTAACATTCCTACATGGAGATTACCTTTGACATGAAGCGTAAATGATTTTATTATATAAATAGTAAATTTTGTCATTGCACACTAGTTCTTTTACTGTTACTTAGCAGTACATTTTATTTTATAGTGTTTGTATACACAATTAGTCAAATGTGATATGGCTCAAGAAAAACAAGCTTTATGCCATTATACACAAATATAAGATACTGAAAAAGTACTGATACAAATACGAGTGTTAAATTTCAAAAGGTCTATATAGCTTCACACATGCACTTTATGTCCTTTAATAAATAAATTTTAATATGTGCTTCTTAAACAAACTTTTCAGTTATTCAGTGTCCATAATTTTAACTGGAATACAAGTGCAAAAAGTTTCAAGTTATATGCGTACATGCTGAAAAGCCCTTAGCCTAAACCATCTGATCAAACATCAGAATGTGTGTTAAAAACACTAAAAAGGTAAGCAGCTAATATTTAAATCTGAAAAAAGTCGGAAATTTAAATTGATAATGATATTCCCATAAACTAACAACATTCAATTGTGTACTTCTAAAATTTGCACATCAAAATGTAAAATTAAAAAAAAAATTCAATGCAATCAGCATTGAATATATTAAAAGGAGAAAAAGTCCAATCACTTTATGGACACCTGTGAAATATGACCCAGTTTAAGTAATAGCACCATTATGGACTAATAAAAACTGTAAAGCAGAGTTACCTGGTAACTTATTAATATCCAAACTAAGCTGCCTCTTCTCATCATATGTCATTGGCTTTGCATTGTCTTCATCATCACTGTCATAAGATCCAGGAGTGGCAGGTTTACTTCGATTCTTCGAACTGGAAGATCGACTACTAGTCCGCTTGTTTTTACTTGATGGGGATTTTTGCTTTGATTTAGGTTTTGAAGACTTGGGAGGTTTAGGTTGTTCAACCGGTGTTGGCTGTGCGGGGACAGGTGGGGGTTGTGGAGGGGGGATTTCTATTACTTTTTCTTTTTCCTTCTCTTTTTCTTTTTCTTTGGCTTTCTTTTTTTTCTTTGCTTTTCTTTCTTTCCTCTCTTTTTGGCACTCTTGTGTAAGAATACCCAATTTTTCTTGTATGTCTCTGACCTGAAAAGAAGATAATAATCATTTACATAATGATTAATTATGAAATTTTTCATAATAGGTAAATATTTAATTTTTTTTTTAAAATTAGATACTCTTGAAAATTCTACATTTTAGACAACTTATGTAGCATAATCTCTTACATACATGCAGTTACAATTTCATTAAATCAACATCTAATTTGTACATACCTGTTCTTGTAATTGTCTGATCATTTTTTCTCTTTCATCTTCAGAGTCCTCCTCACTCTCACTACTTGAGCCAGACTCAGATGATGGAGCATCACTTGATGAAGCTTCTGTTTTGGGGATTGCCGTAGGTGTAGGAGGTTCAGGAGTAGAAGGTGGCTCATCTGGCAGTTTAGCATATTTCATTTCAAAAACATCCTTTGGGAAGGTGGGAAAAAAAAAAAAAAAAAAAAAAAAAAAAAGAGTTTTGTGTAAAAGATTAGAAAGGAAGTCACAAATTACATTTTTATTAAGAAAACAGTTTTAGGAGGCATTTCATATTGTTAGCATTTATGTGCATCTCATGACAAAAAGATTCTACAAGGTTTAGAAAAAATATTCACCTGTAACTTTTTTGCCATCATGACAACATCACTATCTTGTGGATTATATCGATAACAATTTGTGAAGATGGTCCGCACTTCTTCAGCAAATTCAGCAGCTGATTTGTACTCTCGGTTATCCATCTTTTGCTGAAATTGAAAATGTTACTTAAAGTAAAAACAAATTTAGCCTGCAATAAAAAAATAAAAATGAACAGAAGCAAATTGGATATATTTTGGTATATGTGAGATGCATGTATGGGGAATCTGAAAATATCAATGAAGTCTGTACATGTACAAACATCACTGATGCCACACCACAGTTGCAATGTATATAGAGATGGGTGCGAGTAGTCCAAACAGCATTAATGAAGGGAAAGAAAGAAAGGGATTTGCAATTTTTATTCTTTTCCTTTAAATATTATTGACCCTTATTTTCTATAATCATAAATGCATGATAAATGATATCAATGACAGTGAATATTTTGTTTGAATCCTCCCCCCAATCACTTTTTAGGACTACATACACAGAAACTTATTAAATGCTCTTATTTGAAAAAAAAATAAATATGTAACATTATTAGGTCCCCAAGTCCAGTTCAGAAGTGATAAGAGGAGAAAAAAGCATTTTTTTTTTTTTGAATGATTTAAAACTGCCCAGTTTTTAATTAATGCTTGCATTATGCTCCGAAACTAGTGTTAAAAACATACAAATTTGCAAGCTAAAGAAACTTATTTTTAGTATCAACATTGATACTTATTTTCAAACCTTTATCGATGCAAAAAAAGAATTTAATTTTTACCTTGATACTTCCGAGATCCATTGGTTTCTTAATGATATCATGGTAGTCATGGAGACCCAATAATTCTGCATCTACAGGCTTGTAGAAAGGCCAAGCATAACCCTATAAAAATAAAAAATATTACTGCAAGAACAAGAAAAAACTGAGCACATTCAATATAAATAGCTTTTACTGAATATACAAAATATTATATATATATATATATATATATATATATATATATATATATATATATATATATATACTGAAGTATAATCTAAGAAAATTAAGCTATATGAGGTTAGTATGTCTGGTTACATCCAGTCTGAGGATGAAAGGTCTTCATATAACTCATCAAATTGAATAGAGTGAAAAGATTTAGCCTAAATTCTTAGTTATTTTTCTAGCACTTATAAAAAGCTGTTGTACATTTTAGATTTAAAAACTATATTTTAAACTGCAATACTTACCGCATGTTTCTTGGCAAAGAGTTCTTTTAGTAAAATATTGCAATGTTTTAACTGTTCAGAAAGCTTCCCTTTTTTATTTTTTGAGCTATGCTGTGCCTGAAAAAAAAAAAAAAAAAAAAACCTGCTTGTAATAAAGTCAAATTGGAAAAAACAAGTAGAGTAAGGAAGAACTTAAATATTTTTTTTTTGAGCCAATGCATAAAGCACTAAATAAAACAAATCTAACAATAGAAGCAAAAAGAATCTAGAATATACCAATACATACAAAAGGTGGTGCTGAAATGTTCTTGGCCACAAGGACTTCCAAAAAATCAGTTATCCGAAGTTTAGTCACCAAAATACTGATCTCTGAAAATTGTTTCAGCCAAAAACATTTCAGCATCCTCCTGTAGATGCTTTTTTTGCCTCTTGCGAATGAGAAATATGAAGTTTTATCAGTGTAAAGATTAAAGTTGACCTCTCAAATCATTCATCTCTTGAACAAATAAACATTTGAAATATTTTAACTACATTCAAATAGATTAAATTTAGAATTCTATATTTTTAGAGTTCTAAAAAATGTTTTAGATAACTGATGATAAAAAATGCAATATAAAATTTAAATATATTAAAAATAAAATATCAAAGTAAATAATATTCTTTTAACTTTTATTAAAAAAATAAATTTTAAAACTAAAGATTTTTATAATAAAACTTTGAACAAGTAGATCCCTAAGGCCTAGACAGAAATTGTAAGGAAAGTGAGTCAAACACTAGAAAAAGCTGAGCTACCTAAATCAAACATCACAAGCTAAGAAAAAGTGGCCATCAAGACCCTACTGTGACACTTATCCTATCAATAAAGGCAATGTTACAATGGCGATGGATGTTGGAATACTTAAAAAAAAAAAAAAAAAAAAAAAAAAAAAAAAAAAAAACTAAGGTGGAAAAGGGATCCAACTTTGAAAACCAAAATGAAGCCGTCACAAATCCTAAATAAAAACAGACTACTTCACACTGAATAAGTATAGACAGCTAACTTCAGATAACACTAAGCTGCTACATATGTATGATCTATAGTCAGTTTCAGGGGGCTCAGTATGCCACCAATTGATAGATATAGTTAACCCATTAATAGGGTAATTGTCAAAACATTAAAAACTCTTTGTCGAATAAATTCAAGGTGCTCCCATCCATAACAATCAGATGGTAAGACTGCATGAGGCTTTATCAGCAATTAGATAGAAAATGGAATCAGACCCTTCCATTCAGAAATACACTAACCCCCACCCCCAAATAACTAACTTGATAGAAATGTTGACAATTTGTGTTGACAGCACTTCCGGTCTGACATATACCAGCAAGAGGAAGGATTGGCTATGGGTTTGCAGTTATCACCAGTGATGATAAACATATATATGAAATACTTCAAGGAAATGGCTTTAGGAACAGTACCACACCATATGGCTAAGAAACATAGATCAACACATTTATACTCTTGCCTCACCAGGAAACTGTACAGATATTGACAGACCATGTACACCTGACAAGACTTTGATCAGTATGTAAAGGAAAAAGCCAGCTGGTCTTTCTAGGTGTAACAAGAACTTGCAGAAAACAAGTTCAAGAGAGTCATATATCACAAGCCAACCTTCACCGAACAATAGCCTTAACTTCAATTTTCACCACCCATATAGTGCAAAGAAAGGGATCATTCCATGCCAAATTCGTGTAGCAACCCAAGGACATACCAACAGATGATCAGTACCAAATGTACACTTTAGAATAACAAACTACCCTGCAAATATACCAGCTTTTGTAAGTAAACAAGGGTTTCAGACAAAGATTAGGAAACTGCTATGGCATGTTTCCCTTGTCAAGAGTTTGTTAGAATGGATTCAGATATGTATGGAATCCATACAACATCAGGACAATATTCAGAAGAAGCTTGACCTTACCAAGAAATTTCTGCAGAGTCGTCAAGATTAACAGAAGGAGCATAAACACATGATAAAGAACTGTATTCCATCCCTTGCAGTTGTGGCAAAAAAATACAAAGGTGAAACCAGACATCTAAAAAACTGGATGAACATCAAAAAGCTGTAATTAGGGATGAGACAATGAAGTCAAGCATGGCTGGTCATGCATGGAGGGAAAAAAGGGGGCAATCACCAACCACAGCGCAATAAGTAAAAAAATATTAAAAGAAGAACACTTTGGAATAAGATGCCTGAAAAATAATCAGTGCATAAGCTCAGTTATGAGGTCCACTCCAGTAAGCTTAGCCTAGAAGTAAACACCATATGGGAGCTATTGATAAAGAGAAATGACAAGATTTCAACAGCAAGAAATTCTTTCCTGCCTGCTGCTGATAGGCTTGACTGCAGTGAATGCAGTCAAGCCTATAAGCAGCAGGCAGGAAAAGAATAACGTTTAAGGCTCCAAGTTCAAGATTGTCCCATAAGACAATAGCCTAGTGGATTAAAGCATTGTTTTTTTTTTTTTTTTTTTTTAATTTGGTTTCATAGTAATTGTGAGTTCAATCTCTGGGCTGGGTGGCAGACATTGAGAAAACAGGGTGGACAATAACATTACCAAATAAAATGTGCAGTGGAAGAAGAATCTAGCCATATAGATTAATTCTAAAAGAGTTCAGTTCAAAATTTCTTGAGTGTTACTCACATCAACTGACACCTGAAGAAAGCACAAAGGGCCAAAATGTTGTGATGATGAGGACATTAGTCCAAATGCAAATAATGAAGAAATGGAATAAGGTTAAGATAAAAAGAGCAAGCAGGAGATAGCAAGAGACATTTAGTTAAGTGAAAATTACATCTGTGCCAAATTCTTGATGCATATTATGGGTATATTTACAGTTTATTCACTGTTTAATTTCCCATTCTCACTGGAGAAGAAACAATACCTTTTTATTTATTTCTTTTGAATAAAAATGATTATGCACACATGAAGACATTTTCAGAAGCCTATGTTTCATTAATTACAATAAGAGGAAAATCACTTAGTTTTTAGCCTTCTACCAGAAAAATCAAACATGAACTAAATAAATTTTGAAGATGCTGAAGGTTTAACTAATTTAATAATTCAAGATTAATTTTTTTTTTTGTAAGGCAACACAAGGTGAGGGTTTAATTTTTGTGTTGATATGTAACAAATTTACCAGAAATTTTTACACTCACATTTAGAAGTATCAAAGTAGAATATTCATGATTAAATATGTATTCTAATTACATATCTATAACAAACTATAGTTATTTATTTCTAAATGCATAGCCATTCTGCCATCATCTACTTAAAACACTATATTGAAACCTTGCAGGTTATAGCCTTTGAAGATAATCTCAAGTGTCCTTTTCAGTTACAGTTGTCTGCCAAATATGTGAAGTGTATATAAATAAATAAATAAATACATAAATAAATAAATAAAAAGGTACTGAGATTGAAAACAGTCCAATCAAGTTAATATATGTAAACATTGCACCAACTTTAAAAAAAAAAAAAAAAAAAAAAAAGCAAACTACTTGCACACATACACAACAGAAATGAATACCAGCTCAAGCTAGAAAGTACAGGATAATAGCACAAGAATTTTTCCCTATTTTAAATACTATTTTAAATTAAGCCAATTTAAATATATTAAAAAAAAAAAAAAGAAGCCAAGTGGCATGCAAGATGCAGCTATCTATAGGAGCAAGATTGCTGTATTTTTCTTTAAAAACATGCAATTATGATTATGAATAAACATTTTTAATAAGTGAACTGTTTAAATATGTAACAATTTGCCCATATGGATAAATTAAATCACAAAAATAAAGCAAATTGGAAGAGGAGTGGAGTTTAAAAAAAAAAAAAAAAAAAAAAAAAAAAGAAAAAAAAAGAAAAAAAAAAGAAAAAAAAGAGCTATAAAGAATCATGCATAATGTATGAGTTGCAAGATGTTTTTTCTGCCTGACAAATGGTAGGGACCTTTTGCACGCGCAAGCATACATCTGACATCTTATACATAATAGGAAAATATACTTCATACTTGCCAACCTTTGGAACAGATTTAGGAGATCTCGACTTATTTCGGAGGGAGATTGATACATCTGGAGGGAGACTCTTGTACTCATGATTCTCAAGAATAACCATCTGAAAGTACACATGTTTATCAGCTACAAACGGTAAATATAACCGATTAGCAACTTAACAAAGAACAGTGCTTTCCCACCTCTTCATCCAAATTATAAAAAATTGATTTTTGTTTGTCAAAAAGATGTTGAAAATACCTAGGTTAAAAGCAATTCTGGGGCTTTTTCCTTTTCAGAGAAGAAAAGTAACATGAAAGAAAATTAATAGGTGGAAATTTAAAGCTTAAAATAATTCCAAGGTTGGCAAGTATGCAGCAGCATCACAATGCTTTAACATAAGAACCAAGAGAAAACGCGCTGCAAGATTCCCACCCAAATTGTCAAAGATGTTATACAATGGTTTATATTATGAGTGACACTTCATTTGTACTGAAGTATATTTAAAATAAAAATAAATAATTTCTGTAAAATTTTAATTTGTAGTATTTTAGCAGAAATGCAATTCAAGTGAATGAGGAATTCTAATTATATGCTAATATTTTTCTTCTCTTCTCAAATATTGAATTTATAATTTTCATTGGAAATGTTATAACACCTTATATACAGAGTATTATACCGTTTTAGTAATAAATTATGAAGTAAAAAGGATTTATTATAAACATAGTTGGTAAATAAATTTAGAAATTTGTTTTTACTAAAAAAGGGAAAATATCAAGGTAAGCATATAGTCCAAAAATAAGTTTTTCAATTTGCCTAACAGAAGACTTACTAAAAAATTAAACTAGCAAAATAATGAATAAACAAGTGCACATTACTGAAAACAAATATTTACTCAAATATACATGAATGTCTAAAATAACAGTACAAATTCAAAATGGTGGTGGCACAATCCTTTCAATCAATAACTGTTAAATAGACAGTTTTGTTCAATGAAGTTATTCAGAAAACTGAACAAGTCACAGGAAAGTTTATCAAACAAATCAAATACAGCAGATATTAACAACAAAAGCTATTTTAAAATCAATAACAATGAAGTAATTCTTCAAGAAAGTAAACATGTAAAAATTTAAGAGACTGCAATCAAAATAAAATTATGTTCTTTCCAACAATTTTGCTTAAAGTTCAAAAAACAACTAATACCTGATCTTCTGGTAGATCACGTTTTGGTTTCTTTACTTGACGGTTGCTTTCTCTTCGTAATGGTATTTTAGCAGATGAAAGTTTATTATCATACTTGTGCTCATAAACTGATGAAGACTGATAGACTGATGATGGCGCCGTGGATGGGCCAATACTGCCAGGAGTGGTTGTGTCTGCTTTCCGTTTTACACCCTTTTTTGTCTGTCACAGTAAGATAAAATATTGTTAAAAAGAATAATGAAAGGAAAAAAAAAATATCAATAGTTGCAACTACATGTGCAAAAGAAAGGAAATATTTCAATGGAAAACAATTCAATCAAGGTTCCTTAACTGCTTCAAATATTCAAAACTTTATTGAAATAAAAATAAAAAACATGAGGAGGGAAAAAGGAAAAAAAGAACATCCCATTTTCAAACAATGCAAGTCTTTGTTTATTTAATTTTTCTTTGGAATTTGGGAGTAAAGTGGGGGGGGATGATTTGTTTTTCAGTTTTTAAACACCTTTACCAAGTCTTATTAATGTGTTCATTAACACAAATAGTTGGAGCAAATTAAATAGGCTTTGGCTAAGGAATAATTGTCACCAACCCATTACATTTTACAAAGGTCACAGTGAGTGTTTTAGCTGGCCTAAAAGGTTTAAATCCTTAAGTGGAAGAAAAAAAAAAGCAAAAAAAACAAAACCAAGAAAAAAAAAAAGCAAAAAAAACAAAAAACAAAAACAAACCAAGAAAAAAAAAAAAAACCAAAAAAAAAACAAACCAAGAAAAAAAAAAAAAAAAAAAAAAAAAACAAAAAAAAAAAAAAAAAAAAAAAACCAACCAAAAAAAAAAAGCAAAAAAAAAAACCAAGAAAAAAAAGCAAAAAAAAAACCAAGAAAAAAAAAGCAAAAAAAAACAAACCAAGAAAAAAAAAGCAAAAAAAACAAACCAAGAAAAAAAACAAAAAACAAAATAAAAAACAAAAAGCAAAAATGTTATCCACACAGACCTACAGTTATAACATTTATAATAAACTTAAAATAGCAACAATTAGTAATGTTCAATTAACTATCAGTTTAATTGAAAACCCTTGCTGATTTAGCTTAGCAGATCATATAATCACCTACTTACTTTCATTATTGATGGATGAAAAATAACTTCAGTTGCTTATATTGTATATTTAATTTATGCTTCGATATTTTTAAGAGCTCAAATGTATTTAATACACTGAATAAAAAATAGTAAATTTAATACAATAGCAAAATATCAGGTTTGAAACTAGATTATCAATTTTAAGAAATTTATTGCTATTGTTTACTGAAATAACATTTTAGTGTTAGAAATTGAAAATTTACAAAGTAGAATTTTAAATAAATTATTAAAACAGGGGGGAGAGGGGTGGGGCAAATTAAAAAAAATTAAAATACGTGGATAGGTAAACAAGGTAGGCAGGTTACCACGCAAATAATTTCAAAAACTGTAAATTATAAAGTTAATTCTTCAGAAAACGAAAAGGGTTGAAAAATATTGCTTTTAGTTTTTTTGCTACCAGTTGATGATGATGATGAAAACTAATAGCACTTAGCCAAATGACCCAAATTCAAAATAGACTGACCTTTGTGGGCTGAGATGGAGGTAAAACAGTTGCTTGAACTTGGGATGTTTCCGATTCCTCCTCTTTGAGGGACTTGATAATAGTACCAGACTGACTTGTGTTGTATCGGACTGGTGAAGCAACAGGAGAAGTTACCTGTGGAGGTGCCACATTAGTGGGGGGTGCTGTAGCCTGAGGCGGGGGTGTGGCCACAGAGGAGCCTGAATTTGGGCCAGATGAGGGAGGTGGGGCAGCAGCGGCAGAGGTAGCAGATGCAGAATTATTTGTGTTAGCAGTTGAGGAAGAACCTGCTTTAGAGCCAGATTTTTTACTGGGAACTGTTATTTCCACTTCCTGTAAAAAGAAAGTAGGGGAAGAGAAAAAAAAAACAAAACAAAAAACAAACGAAAAACATACGTATAAGTATAGACATTTTTCATCAGTAGCAATTACTATATACTATTACTGATGCTCATATTGTGCCTTTTCAAAATTAACATGAGGTATTTTTGTCTCTTGTTAACAGGGCTTCATCATTTTAAATAGTTTTCAAATTGTAGCACTTATCATGCTTATCACTCACCAAGACCTACACAGGCAATTATTTGAAGTCATTTAATTCATTGATTTTTAAACCATGAGATCCAGTAAAACAGACTACGTCCAACAGCAAGGCCTCTGATCAGGTTTTGAGGAGCGTGGAACCACCTCTTAATTGCTGGTGTTCCCAAGTCCGCCTTGACCCGGGGAGGCAGTACCTGTTAGGGTCACAGCTATAGGTAAATAGTTAATCTCAAAATTGGGCTAAAAACATTATGAAAGTGTAAAAAATACCAGAAATACTGTGTAAAAAATTATTTCCATCAATATATTTTTGAAAAAAATATCACCAGAAATATTTTTGAAGGAAAAATATTACCAGCAATAAAAATTTTTGCCAGCATTAAATAATTGCGGTTGACATGTCGTAAAACAAAACAAACCGAACCATGAGATAACTCGTGGTTAGCAGTTTTTATCATGATGTTGACCATGAGTTATCTTGTGCTTGACATTTTCTTATATATTTTTCATCTGCAGTTGCCAACAAGTTTATTTGTAGTGATACTTTTAATCTGAAAACAATGTTAAGACTTCAGTTGAAGTTATAAATCTACTCATAAAAATATTCTATTGCTCAAGTTGGCATTTGAAGTCAGTTTTCAGTCAGAGTGTTAAATGTGTTTAAACTTGTCATCAATTTTAATGAGACAGTATCAGCTTATAATTTCTAAAAGAGCAATTGATGGATTTTGGGTACAAGTGAAATTAATTAGATTAGAACACCAAACTTACATCTTGAGGCATTTGAGCAACTTTCTGAAGGAATAATTTTTCTAAAGTTTGTGCCATAAGAACAATATCCTGAAAGCAAAAAGAGAATAAAGAAAAAGAAAATACATAAGTTTAAGGTAACTTTGGAAAGGAGAAAAAAAACATTAGTTCAAAATGTAAGCATTACTGATACAGATTTTAATTAAAATCAGGTTTTCAAAGTCAAATTGTTTACAGAAATAAGAGCAAATTTCATAGAATGTTAAACACCACACTAGCTAAAATTTTCAGACATCTTAATTTAGAAACAAATCTTACCTCGCCAGGTTTGTTGTAAACATAACAGTTTGTAAACATTGTATTAAAATCACTTATGCATTGTTTTGCACTGTGATAATAATTTGTTTCTAGGCGTTTCTTGATTGTTCCTAGATCCATTGGAGACTTTATGATTTTGTGATAATCCTGTAAAGTAAAAAATAAATTTTTCTATTAAGTATAACTAGTAATTTAAATGTTTAGTCTATTTGTAATGGATAGACAATCTTAAATAATATAAATCATAAATAGATTACATGTAATAGTAAAAATAAAATTAAATTATACATTATATAAAAATTACTTCTGCAATACAAACTACAGTAGTCTTTCAATAATATAAAAAAAAAAAAAAAAAAAAAAACAACAACAACAACAACAACAACAAACACACTTACTGGTAGGTTCAGTTTTTCAGCATCCACTGGTTGATGGAAGGGCCAGGCAAATTGATGCTTCCATACTGCTTTGACAACCACCTTCAGTAAATACTGAAGTTGGTTTGTCAACCGTCCTGGTAGACGGTTAGTTTCTTGATTGGCAGCATCACCTGACTGGTGATTCACCTAAAAAAATAGTAGGCCATTTCAATAATTTTTTTTGCAAAGTATTGAATAAAGGAAGTTTACTTGAAACCCTCTAAAAAGTACTTGAAAAGCATTAAGTTTTAAAGCTTAAAAATTTAAGTACCTAAGTATTAATGTAGACATAAAGGAAATTAGTATAAAATGTAGACAAGAGTTAAATTAGCCTAATTGAAAAGATTTTTACTAGTAAATAAAAACTATGCTAAGTAAATTTATATACAATAAAAAAAAAAATTCTTAGTCACTCTACAAATTATTCTGTGTGTATAAAAAAATAAAGGGGACATCACAAAAAAGCAATTCCTAGAGTTTAAAATTAATTCTTTTTAAATGAAAAATCTTTCTAAGAGCTCTTATTTCAACCTAATAGATTAAATTTCATATTTACGATAAGGGAAATACTTTCTTCTATTTTAAGGCTAATTTAAATTGGGTAAGAATTTTTTTTCTTTTCCTTGGGAAAAAAACAAAAAAAAAAACAAACAAAAAAAAAACAAAAAAAAAAAAACAAACAAACCTACAGCGTCATGTTTAGCAACCATTCATTGGAATATAATTTTCTTTATTAAAATATACTTTTCTGATACTTTATTTGACAAATATTATTAGCAGATTATTTGAAGTTTAATTAATCTGATATGAAACATTCACTTATTTTAAGTTTAAAATATCACAAATACATTTTTTTTTTAAAAACACTGCAGTAGATGTCTATTATTTAAGCTGTTGACAGATGGATCTTTCAGTTTTTCTATAGTGGCTTTGTTTAAAAAAAAAAAAAAAAAAAAAAAAAAAAAAAAAAAAGACTGAATATAAGGTGAGTGGATTTTTTTAAAAATAATTTTAAGTTCTCAGTAATCTTAAAAATATAGGAAAATATTCGCTGTAATCTAATACTTTATTAATTTTAGATACTTTGGATTTAAATTTACTATAGCTATTGCATTATCTGATAATGTTGTGCATGAACATCCGTATCAAAAATCAACACATTTATACACATACAAAACAAAAAAATTCAATATTTTATAAATACTGGAGAACATTAAATTGTAATAAGCTTTTTGATTTATTAGTAATTAACAATAATATCCCCTAACACACAATTGAAACAGAATTTTAAGATATTTAAGAACTTATTCTAATTAAAATTTTAATAAGTGAAAACAAATCATGTAAAAATTCATTGATCAAAAGTATTCTTAAGACGAAGACAATAGTGTCCTTAATATATCTTATTTATAAAAGCAATTAAAAGTTTTTCTAATTAAATATCAGTTTTATTGCATTTTTTGATTCAGAGCAAATTTTCCAAATCAATGTTTTTCACTGCAAAAATTTTTTATGCTAATTTATGATCCACTTGGCTGATGGAAAAATAGAGACTTAAGTTTTGAACATTCTAAAAAGGATTAAAAAAATATAATGAAATAATCAAAAAAATACTTTCTTCTCTTAATGATTTAACACCAAGTTTGGAATATTTGTTTCATCATGGTATGGTCTTTTTTTCAATGAATTCATGGATATATATGCGCACCATCACAGAGTCAAGAAGTGAATAGTCAGCAAGTTAATTTTGCAGACTTACTTCAGAAAATTCAATCATTAGATATCCTATTATTGTCCTGAAACCAAACTTTATGAAATTGCATTCAGTTTTTAATTCTGAATAATACCACCCTTTTAGAAAGATTTCAATATTTTTGCAAATCATTTGAAGTTAGTTAACCTGTTGCTCCTAAAAAAAAAAAAAAAAAAAAAAAAAAATCTTGGGTGTATTTTTTAAAATTTATTTTCATTTGTTACTTTTGTAATCAATACTAACTGAAAGAAATATACTATAACATCAATAGCAAACATAAAAAAAAAAAAATTCAAACTCTATACATGTAAAGCATTGCTAAATTTTGACAGCATCCTTATAATCAACCTTCCATTTCAGTATCAATCTACTCCACCCGCAATTTCAATAATAAAACAAAAAGAGAGATTGTTAAAGTTTTTTTTTTCTTTTAATAATAACGGCATAAAAATTGCTTCATTTTCATTCTATTAGAAAAAGAGAGAATACTTTACATTTAACTATAAAAGTGGTATTTTTTTTATTGTTTCCAGTTATGCATGAAAAAGTTTAAATGAAATATGAGCAATTTCTCAGTCTTACATAATTGAAATTGCTTTTGACACTTTTTTGGAACAAATATATTTTACTATTTAAACATTATTACAGTGGATACTTCATATTTGAAATAGATGCTACCATTTCAAATATGAAGTATCCACTATAATGTTTGAAGTAATAAAAAAATGTTGAAATAAAAATATATTAATTCTTTATATATTTCTATTTTTTCTCCCCAAAAAGACATTTCTGAAGGAAGGAAAATTATCTAATTGAACAGTTTAATAATTTCTCAGATCCTGATAAAGAATCACTAGTGCATTAAACATTGCTACAAAGTAATTCTAATATTTTTAATTAATCTTCAAAAATTCTACTTGTATCACTTTAGTAACCATTTGAAAACTGATATACTGAAACTTAGGTAACATGTTTAAAAAAATCATACTGAACTATAAATTTTAAAAGCAAGAGTGAATTTATATGCATAAATATACTTGAGAGAAATTATGAAATAACTGCAATATCATCAAGCTAATTTTCTGCCAAACATAAATGAACAAATCAAATTGGTGGATAGTCAAAGTATGACAAATTCCATTTTTTTATTTTTAATGCTACACAATTCAAAAGATTGAAAATACTTACTGAGTTATAATCATTAGCCGACGGCCTGTTTGGACTCTGCATGTTGTTAGTTTTTCTGTGAAAACAATAGATTTAAGATTAAAAGAAAAAAAAAAATGTAAACATCTGAAAAATTTCACTAAGAAATGGCAAAGGAATGTCATGAATTGGTTCAACTACGAAGTGGAAATATTTTTAGGAGATATAGAATTAGTTAAAAGAAAAATGAGAAGCTTGCAGTAGTAAATCAACATTTAAAAGCATAATTGCTTGAAAGTGAAAGCTTTAGACATAGGCTCTAACCCTTTTTGTACTGTATAAAAATAGTTATGTTTTTCCTATATGTGCTATATATATATATATATATAAGTAAAAAGGAAATAAAGATGCAAACATTTTCTTAAGTATTTTATGTAGTAATATGGTAAATACTACAGAAATCACCCAGTTATTTTAATGGAAAATGATAAAGACCAAATTAGAATGCTGGTAATAAAAATGTTTCAAAACTTGCTTCACTACCTATATAGGTAGGTACATTTCATTCTGAAAAAATGTTCCTAAAATTTTGGCATAGTAGTAATAAAAACTGAATTAAAGGAATTATTTTTCCTGTCTTTAAAATGTTACATTATACAATTTGTGATAAACATGTACAAGAAAATATATTTTTGAAAATTCAAATTTTTTTTAATTGGTTTTCATACTAGGTTATACTTGTTTATTAACAAGTAATTTTAGGTTTAGCTTCAGAATCACCAGTCATAGATAATGCAATCTTTATTGCAAGTATATAATTATCAATTAATACAACTATAGTTTTTTTTTCTCATGCCCTTGTTTTAAACTTAGGAAAAAAGTTAAAAATTTCCTCATGAGAATATATCCAATTCAGTGCATCATCAGATTCTCAGCCTAATCACCAACTTCCCAATTTCAAAGACAATAAGTATATAGCCAGGCTCTGGCACAGTCAAAATATATGAATGGACAAAGTAACATACATAGTAAAATAAACATTTTCATCAGACACAACATAACATCTCTACTCCAAATAGATTATGTGATCAGGTTTATTAGTTACTTTGACTTTATAAGTACTTCAATGTCCTTTAGCTCATAAATAAATCATTCCCTAAGATTTTAATTTCCTCACCTACCCTGTTTCTTTTGCCTTCTGTTGATACTGCCCCAATCCCACTGTTTTAAATAGTCTTTTGGCAAAAGCAGCACATAAAAATCATCTTTCATTATTATCACCCAAATTCAGGATTAAGACTGATCCATCAACTTAAGTTTGAAATTACTAATCCTAAAAAACATTATATTACATAAATAACATTCAGCATTTATTTTAAATCTTAAAAAGCATATAATAAACATGTTATTTGAGGGAAGCATATCAAGCTGTATTAGAAAATTCCAATTTGTTTTTCAATTTGGCTGTGAACCATAATATATTTTTATTATTTTTAACCACTCTTTAATGCACATTAATTTTTTTTTATTACCTTTTTTGTTAATATAATTATTATAATTTTTAATTGTTTAAGGAACATCTGTTCCTTAAACAATTAACTTTTAGAAAAGACACCCATTAAGCTTAAGAAATTTTAATCACTTGGGACAAGGATAGTTTTGTATCATATTGACAAATATGATATCAGAACTGTTCCAGGGCAATCAGCATCCGAGAAAGATATTTTGTCAGCTACTTTTATAGTGGTTAATATTGAATTCTTTTTTAATTTGTTGGCAGAAAATGAAGGTAAGTAGTAAAGTAAAGTGCAGTTTATTTCCCCTAATTGTTTAATATGGTGAAACAATATTCAAAATAAATAAGTTCAGAAGACAAAATGAGAACTGATAATTATTACTTAATTTTTACTATCTATAACAAGTCTTTAAAAAATTTCAAAAAGGCTGGAAATATGGAGTAAATCAAATGTGACTGGTACAAAGCTAAGTGGTAAATCTTTAACTATCTTGTTATTCTTGTATAAAGCTTTTAAGAATTCAACTTAAACCAGTTGTGTTCACCAAGATATCCAAAATAGTTATCAAGGGAAATCCATTTGATCCCAACTTTAGTTTTTAACAATTACATTAATCAGACAATCATAGTGGCCTGATTTCAAGTGTTAAAAATCTAAGCAGCAATATCTACTTCCAAGACCCATGCAGAAATGACTAAAGTAAATTTAAAGGTTTTATTAAAATTTAAACACCGAGGTTATATATTCTGAACATGTATACCTAAAAAGATAACTTACAAATTTACACTTGTTTGGGAGAAAAATGTTTTGTGTTTTGAGAAAATGGTTAGACAAATTCAACCAAGTATGAATATCTGTCTAACTGGCTTATTGCTGCCATACAATGACCATCTGAGAAAAATTTTCCACAAGACTAACAACATTTGAGATAAAAGCAAATGTGTAATATGAAATATTTGCTTATATGCTTATAAGTTAGCCTCTCTCTACAATAAACAAAGAGAAAACTTCTTGTCAGTTTCTACCTTATCTGAGCTACTAGATTTGCTTAAGTTCTCTTGAGTTACAAAATGTTAGCATCTATCCTAGGAATGCATTTCTGCATGTGGAACAATACATTGCTTATCAATTATCTGTATGCATTTGACTGGATTTTTTTCTTTTACTTTAAAAAAAAATGTATTCTAGCAAGAAAATAACTGTCTTAAGAATTTTCAAATAGTAATCAGCTGCAGATACTGATAATGTTTAATACTACTACTTGAATTTCTCTTCATCAACTTAGTTATTTCTCCACTTAAAAGAGAATTTATAGATTGTCAAAATAATGAAAGCTAAAAACAAGTGGATATACATGTGATGCAGGATAATGCATAAATGACAAATGTATCATCTATCTAGAGAATACCAGTACCTATCATTTTTAGGTAAACATGAATATAAACACCATTTTGTAATAATACCTTGTCTCCCAAAAGTTAGTTTCCTAAAATGTCATTTGTGTGGTTAACATTTTTTTCTGTATGCAAAAGGAAAAAAAATAGCATTAGCTGCAAGTAAAGAAATATCAAACCCAAGAAGGAAGAAATCAGAAAGGTTGACCAAAATTTGTTTCCTGCAAAATTAATAAAGTGCTACTGAAACAGGTATAGGCATATACACACAATAGCTGCTCAGAGAAATTCAATAATCAAGTCAGCATGCAGAAATATTCGCTTAAGATATAAACATTAGACAAAATTTGCACATAAAAACTAAATCTGTTATTGTTAAAAATAACATCTATGTGCATAATTGAGCAATTTTTCAACAATTTCCTTCCTTGTCAATGCACTTAATATTTCTTTATAGATCAGATTATAAAATGAAAATTTCAGATCAAAATTCAGTTATTGCGAGAGGCTAGAGTTACTGATCTATTCTTGTAGAGAGATCACGGTCATTTATTTATTTATTTATTATACAGGATTGAAAAATTTAAGTATAGTCAAATTTAAAGACATTACAAAATTAGGTTTGTTCTCAGAAGTAAAAATGATTTCTTCACCTTAAGAAATTCTAATACTTCTTACACAAAATAAAAATTAAGGATAAGATTTACTGCCATTTAGTTTATGTAATGTAATGGGATTAAACAATTGAAAACTTATAAGTAACAAAGTTAAATACAAAAACCACCATAGTCCCATTATAACCCTAAAGAAAATAGTAATCCCTTACATCCATAGTGCAATTTTAATCCCAATAATTTATGGTTTCGTTCAAATTTTGTAATGCTTAATGCCCTCCACCCACCAAAGAATTTTAAAAAGAAAAAATTTGATAAAAATCACTTAAAGGGTTTTTTAATTTGATATTTAATTTTTTTTTTTTTTTTTTAGAAAATAAAAACCTACTTTAAAATATTCAAGTGTAGAGGATTGAACTCAAAAGCAATTTCAAAATTGATTTTTGCAACCATCCTACTCAAATTAAAATTCTGTGCAGTCTTAAAGATCATGGAGAATTTAATATTTGTTTAGAAACTTACATTACAGAAAAATTTAGAAAACTTTTGAACATTTTTAAGAGTGCAAAGTGAATCAAAATATTCTGGCTAGTCACACAAAATGAAAATATTTTGCACTAAAAATTTAACAGATGCTACAAAGAAAAAGTGTTTTTTTTTTATACAAACACTTTGGTTAATAAAAGCAGGATAGAAATTTTCCTACCCTCCTAGTTCAAGGTAATTACTATTTTTATCATTACAAGCAAATGCACGTGCCTATTTTACCCCATGTTAGCATCTACAAATTATGCAAACGATTTCCTGATTTAATACTACACATCTTTGCTGTATTTTATTTACACAGCATCCATTCTCTAAAAATAAATGTGTGTGCGTGTGTGTGAGCAAGCGAGCTTTGGTATCAATATTTATTGAAGCAGTTTTTTTTCTTTTAATAAATTTTCAGATAGTCAATTTTTATTGTGGAAAAAATTATATGCGAAGTTTATGTCTTGTAATAATTAACTTTTCATATTTACTATTTTAAAAATTGAATCTGTAGGGAAAATATTTTTAACATTTTACAAAATACTGCATTTCCTAGTGTCGACATGTTCCTACACCTTGTAAAAAAGTTTTGGGTCGACGATTACCTTTTTCTATCCAAGACAGTAATCTGAACGGATGAATATGACCTTTAAATTAAGGTATAAATTAGTAAATAAAAAGTATCATCATACTTCAAAAAATGCCAGCAGTAAAGTCACTGCTGGTGGAAGAACTGGAGCATCGTAGTTTTCTGTGCAGCTTTAATGCGGGCACTTTACTGGTAGGCTGGATGTAAACTTACTGTCTCTTTATTGTAATAAAAATAATGAAAACAATGTAACCTGAAAGTCTGCAAGAGAACGTGGCCAAGCCATCTGCTAAAGCAGACTGAACTAAATAGTAAAAGTACCATTGTTCTCTCTATGAAAGCCTAGCCATATCTACAAAATATGTACTAATTAACTATTTTTAAAAACCAAAGTGAAAGCTACCACGGCAATTAAGAAACGAAATTGCAATTAAGAAACGAAATTGCAAGCT